TACAGGAATAGACACAGACCAATGGAACTGGAAATAAAACCATGGACCATCAACCAACTCATCTTTGACAAAACTGTCAAAAGCAAACATTGGGGAGTAAAAAACATATTTAGCAAATGGTACTGGGAAACTAGCTAACCATGTCCAGAAGAATGAGACTGGACCCCTACCTATCACCATATACAAATATTAACTCAAAATGTATCAAGGGCTTAAATGTAAAAAACCTCAAGCTATAAAAATCTTAGAAGAAAATTTAGGGAACGCTTGCTTAGATATCAGAGTAGGCAGTAAATTAATGACCAAGTCCTGAGAAGCAAATACAGCAAAAGCTAAGATTGACAGGTGAGACCTTATCAAACTAAAAAGTTTTTGCACAGCAAAAGGAACCATCGAGACAGTAAAGAGGCAACTGATGGAATGGAAAAAAATATTTGCAAGATATACATCAAACAAAGACCTAGCACACAGGATCTACAAGAAACTCAAATGAATTGACAGGAAAAAAACAACCTCATTAAAAGTTAGGCAAAGGACATGAACAGACACTTCTCAAAAGAAGACATTCATGTAGCCTACAAACATATGGAAAAATGCTCAGCCTCACTAATCATCAGAGAAATGCAAATCCCAACTACAATGAATACCACCTAACAGCAGTAAGGATGGGTATCATGAAGAAGTCAACAAACAACAGGTGTGGGCATGGATGTGGAGAAAAGGAAACACTTCTACACTGTTGAAGGAAATGTAAGCTAGTTCAAGCTTTGTTGAAAGCAGTATGTAATTTCCCAAAGAACTAAAAAGTGAGCTTCCATATGATCTTGCAATCCATTTCTGAGAATATACCCAGAGGAGCATAAATTGTTCTACCAAAAAGACAGCTGCACATGTATCGTCATTGCAGCACTATTCACAATAGCAAAAAAATTAGAGCCAACCCAGATGCCCATCAAAAATGGACTGGATGAAGAAAATGTGGTACATATACACAGTGGAATATTATTCATCCATAAAGAAAAACAATTCATGGCCTTCACAGCAGTATGGATGTCGCTGGAGACAATCATGCTTAGTGAACTCTTACAGAAACAAATAATTGAATACCTCATGTTCTCACTAATAAGTGGACCCTGGTCACTTGTCACATGAGCACAAGGGTGGGATTGCCAGATGCTGGACATTATTAGGGGAGAGAGGGAGGAAGGAGGGATGGGACACATGGCAGTACACTGAGTATCAGGTCCACTCTTGGGAGAGAGCGGGTCTGCTAGAAGTCCACACCTCACCAGCATGCAATTTACTCATGTAATAAATCCTTGTGTGTACCTCACAACTCTAAAATAATTTTTTAAAGCAGCAAAAGATTCTTTGAGAGAGAGAGAAGGAGAGAAAGAAAGAAAAGAAAGGAAAAGAAAAGACTGTCAACAGACTAAAAGGATAACCCACAGAATGGGAGGAAATATTTTCAAATCACATATTTGATAAGGGATTAATATTCTAAATGTACAGAGAACTCCCAAAACTCAACAATGGCAAAGAAATATGATTTATCCTGATTTAAAAAATGATAAAAAAACTTGACTAGACATTTTCCAAAGAATATATACAAATGACTAATAAGCACATGAAAAGATGCTCAACATTAATAATCATTAGTGAAATGCAAACTGAAGCAATAGTGAGATCTCACCTCACATCTATTAAAATGGCTATTATCAACTAACAGAAAATAACTAGTGTTGGTGGGGATGTAGAACAATCTGAATACTTGTGCCCTGTTGGTAGAAATGTAAAATGGAACATATTAACATTTATGTACACACACACACACACACACACACACACACACACACACACACACACACGGAAAATATTATCCAGCCTTAAACAGGAAGGAAAGTCTGACATGTCCCACAACATGAATGAAACTTAAGGACTTCATGCTGAATAAACCTGTCACAAAAAACCAAGTTCTATATGATTCCATTTTTATGAGGTACTTAGCACAGTAAAAATAATAGAGATAGAAAATAGAATGGTGGTTGCCAGTGACTGGAAAGGGTAGAATGGGGTTACTCTACACTTAAAAATGGTTAAGATATTATATTATGTATATTTTACCACAGTAAAAAAAAAAACGGAGGAAAAAAAGGAAATTTTAAGAAAGGAAATGAGCTATCAAGACATGAAGGAAACTTAAACGCACAATACTAACCAAAAGAAGCCAATGTGAAAAAGCTACATGTTGTATGATTACAACTATATGAGATTGTGGAAGAGGCAAAACTATGAAGACATTAAAAGATTAGCTGGTAAAAAATAAAAAAAAAGATTAGCTAGTGCCAGGAGTTGGAGAATGAGAAGGATGAGTATTCAGAGAACTTTTTAGGACAGTGAGTCTGTTCTGTACCATACTACAGTGGTGGATTCGGGTCACTATACATTTGCCAACATCTGTGCTATGTCGAACATCAAAAATGAACCCTAATGTAAACTGTGGATTTTGGGTGATAACAATTTGTCAGTGTAGATTCTTCTTCTGTATGAGCAAATCTACCATCTGGTGCTAGATATTGATTGGGGGGAAGCTTGTGTAGTGGGTGGCGGAAGAAAAGAGGGGTATATGGGGATTTCTGTAAACTACTCTAAAAATTGTTTATTAAAAAATGTTTTAAAGAGTAGAACATGAAAAATTTTAAATGACTTCATTTTAAATATGTGTTTAAATATTTTCCTCCAGTTCTTTCCCAAATATCAACTCAACTCTCGGTTAAACAGAAATCGAAAAGCATTTGTACGTAGATGCATATGTTATAAATAGTAATCATAGATCCCCAGCCTTTGTAACTTACATTGAGGCTGAAATAATGTTTATTTTAGTGAAGAAGAATATTGTAACATTACTAAGTGTTTAAAAAAGTACATATCTTTTTTACATATCCTGAATGCTAATGTTTGAGGAGATAGAGGTGTCATTAGAGGAGGAGGAGGAAATGATATTTCTGCAGCATCTCAAAGATTGATAGCACTGCTTCTTTATAATGTAAATTTGTACTTCGAATAATATAGTTACTTTTTTTGAAATCTGCGTAGTTCTACTTAGATAAGGGGATTTAATGCAACGAAGATAGAAAGAATTGAAGAGAAGATAGAAGAGAAGGGAGGAAAAAGTAGATACATTCCGGAAGTGGAAATAGAAAAAGATAAAATGAAGAAATGGTCCACTGCATAAGAGATAACTAATTAAAATTTATTAATTGCTGAGCCTTAAAGAAAGAAATAAAAATAGCATTATGGTCAGTACATTATTCTATCTAAATACTGGAGGGGAAAAAGCTGATAATAAGAAGAGACACCGGGTTATTTTTCCATGATAGTGCCAGGTATTTTTGGTTCAGGATGGCTTGCTTTAAACGTCGGGACAGCAGGTAGAAAGAGAAGATGGTAGCTCAGTTGAGTTGGAGGACTTTAGGGAGTACAGTGAACAAACACCTTTAAGACTTCTGCTGTATATGTTTATGTGTGTGTGTTTTGTATGTGATATTTTACATATTGTGGTTTTGGTATCAACATTATGCTATTAAAATAATGTAAGTCTTTAGGGAAGCATAAGCTAATATTGAATATGTTAGCCACTTAAAGCCAAGTTCATTATAATTCAAATCATGTAGAAATTCAAAATTTCTACAATAATTTTTCAAAACAAAGTATTTTAAGGTTATCATTTCTATTTATATTTTTTCTTATTTTAAAATCATGTATAAAATTGACAGTAGTGAAAAATTGCTATTTGCATGGTATAACTTTGTAGTAGTTTAAATGGAAGATTCTCCTATTAGGAGTTCCTGTCTATTTTTAGACCGTGTTTTAGACCATGTTGGAAAAGAGAGCTAATAAAGGTCTGAATTCTGCCTTTAAAACTTTTTTTGTTTTGTCAGTCATTTATTCTTGCATGTAATTCATCAGATAATTCTCTAGAGTCAGTGCTCTGCACAGATACATTTTTTGTCTTGGTATGATCTTCCTGTATGATGAATTGTCAAGATGACTGTGGACTTGCAAACAGCCTTTCTTGACTTTCTTTTCTCCAGTATCTAGAAGAACTTAGAGTTTAAATGTAGATTGATAGCATTTTTTGAGCTGAGAAAACTCCTACAGAAAATCTAATTCTGAAGACATGTTTTAGATACAAGAAACACAGACTTAAGGTTAAATGCCTGACACTGTTCACACCCTCTGCTTGGTACAGAGCTTGTCTCATCCCTTATTTACGTAGTCTCAGCCCAGAACTGCATTGTCTGCATCTCAGGGGTTGTTTACACCAACATCCTCTGTCCTTCCACATAAGCAATTTTTATTCAGGTAGTTTCTAGCTTCTTTCTGCCCCCTCTTAACAGTGAACAATGTTGTTAACCCAGCTGCAAGCCTACCTCGTGTACCTCAAAAGGTTTTCATGAGTATGAAGACTCAGGGTAAAAACTGTGAAGTTCTATGACAAAGCTCACAAGCCTCCCAATATTGACCGGTAATGTTTTAAATTTGAATCGATGCCTTGAGTGAATTGCCAGTATTCAGAAATTGGTACATTTCACATAAAAATCTAGATATTTCCATTTCTCTAGGAAGGAGTGTACATCTTGCAACATGGGATGACTTGCTTCAGTGGTACTAGCACCCTTTAGATAGGATTTGCACTTTCTACTTGGCTATAAGTTCCCATCATTCCTTATGGGTTTCCCAACCCTTGGCCAAGTATCAGATGTCATTCATTGTTCTACAATCTTTTGCTTTCCTACAAATTACTTGCCTTGATGACTATAGGCATTTGGAGATTTTCAACTCCTGTTCTCGGAAAATATAAATTGAAATTAATAGTGCTAGTAAAAATTATATCAGGACAAACGGTAAGTATTGGGGAAGACAGTTGTAAAACAATGAAGAGGAAGTTTATCGAATAATGAGAATGACTGACATTTCTTCATATTTGTTTTTCAAGGCAATCATGTCCCAGGTGAGGCAAGTGGGATTGCTAGCTGCCGGATGTCAGCCTTGGAACAAAGATGTTTGTGCTGCCAATGGAGACAGGTTTGCATATTGTGCAACCTTGGCTATCTATGTTTATCAGGTAATAATTGTTCTTTTCAATTTTTAATTTTATCAGGTAATATTAATATTTATTGAATACGTATTTTTAAGTCTATTACATTAAAAGCACAACGCTATAATTTCATTGACTTTTATACTTTCTGTTTTTGCTATTTATGCTGCCTTGGGTTTACAGGTTAAACTTTTAGAAAATGCTTATATTATTAAATTATTAATAAATTTGATTTGAGAAAATTATCTTACTAGTTGAAGAATGGGTAAGTCATCAGAGGTCATTATATTAAAATTAATGCAGATATATTTTGGGATATTTTTGGGAGAAACACCTTCATAAATACTTTTTTGCACAATCCAGCTTCATTCAGGCATCTCTTATCAGTTCCTAATTTATAGAGCTAATGAATTACTGAAGTGCTCCATATAGAGGTGCCGTAAGTATTTTAAAGTTCAGTCTTTCTCCTTAAACCCAGAAGTAGAATCTCAGTGTCACCAGCTAATCATTCGCCTAAACCAGAAATGTAAGAGTTACCTTTTACTCCCTCTTCTGTGTCACATCCTATACCCTTAGTAACCAAGAGTGATTTTTGTATTTTGTACGTTTTAGTATCTTTATAGCCTTCTCACTTGAACTATTATAGTAATCTCTCAATAGTTTCTCTACCTCTAGGTTGGCTCCTTCTAATTTATCCTGCAGTATAACCAATCATCTATGGTGAAAATCTAAATTTAAAATCTTCAATTACTATTCATTCCCTAATGTTAACATCCAGACTTTACAATATGACATTCAAGATGTTTTGTGATTTTCCTGCCCCTCTCTCTCTCACTCTGTGTTCCACTCTAGTGTATCAATCCACTTGCATTTTCTAAAACATCTTCTATCTTTCCTTGCTTACACTAGTTTTTTAGTTTGCCTGCATTGCCCGTCTAGAAAAAACTTTCTCATCTTTCAAATCTCAACTCAAGTATGTAAACTCTTTTCCACATTCTGCTTTTCTTCTTTCTTGTAAATGAAGAAGCTTGTGAAATGGACTGTCTCCATGCTTCCATTTACTAGGAATGAGTCTTTCCTATCTCTGAATTCTCATATTTTTACATATTCTTAATGACATTGATTAAATGTTTAGAATGAATGAGTTAAAAAAATGAAAAAAAAAATCCTTGAAACTTTAACTCATTTCAGTTAAGAGTAAAAAAAAGTTTTATTCTAGAGTGAAATCCTTTTCATGACTGAATATTAGTTCATTACTAACAGTGCTATAGTTTCAGAAATAATAGCATTCAGAATTAAATTTCAGAAATGGCATGAATCCATAAAACAATTCATCTCCCACAATATAGAATAGTCCATTCCTCAAGACTGTGGAAATATCTAGCAATCAAAATATAATTTCAATAAAACTCATATTTCATTTTCATTCCCCATCCATAAAGTAGCTCAAGCTTTCTAAATGTCTCCTTTGTTCTCCCGTCTACCTCCTTTATTTTACACTCTGCATGTACTCCAAAACTTCTCACTCCCAAATTCCTTCTCCAGAATTTATCTCTTAGTATTAAGTTCCTGTCTTCTTGTCTTTTATTTCCTCCTAAAGGAAAAGAAATATAAGCAGGGCAAACGATTCCTCTCAGGGATAAGGATGATTAAGAAACTTGGTAGATGAAAACAGAACCTAATTCTTTCAAGTTTGCATGTCTTAATTTTATGATGACATTTTATGATGAATATTTAAGAAGATTAAGCTAAAATTATTAATATGAAAAACCTATAAGAAAGTTTGCATGTTATTAAGGATTGAAAGAAATTCAAAATTACCCTGATATAGAAATTAATATAAATAAACACAGGTGACAGTTCATTATGGTATCTACTGTAAAACTTGCTTCAAAATATGCCAATAGAAAATTAAATTATTAAATGGTGACATGAACATTAATTAAAGTTATATCAGTAAGTATTTTTTAAGTGTGATCATCTAAATTAAAGTGCTTTGACATTATGCTACATAAATATAAAATGTTATAATTATATTCACAAGAAATATTTATTAAATCACAACTAGTGTGAATGTATAGTCGAAGTCTGATCTATCACTGTCTAGATAATGACATTGATGTATTGTCAGGTTTTTCTGAACTGTTAAATGATTTTATAAGTGGCACTACAATTTTTTTAATAATTGAGCTGTAATGCACTAATAGGTTTTGGTTCATCTCCGTGTAACAGTACAGTCTGATAATACTAAATTGTAATATAATGAGTATGTATGAATAAATTCCTGCAAGTTGTTTAGTGTATAATAGTATGTTTATAGGTACTATATGGATAATTTGTATGGTAAAGTCAGTAAAGGTTACTGATGTGCACCATAACTTCTTCATACATTTACTATATTTATAAATTATCTTATTGAATTTCTAATATATAGCAGAACTTCTTAATTATATCCATTAGATACACAGTATCTACCATAGGAACTAAAGCTGCTGAATAACTTAAAACTTTAAAAACTATATATTCCTAAATGTGCAAAACACAATTATATTTAAATAAGTCAACTTAAAAGTGTTATTGCTGCAGTGCTAATCAGATGAAAACTTCATTAGTACTGGATTATCTTGTGTAATATTTTCATCCAAAGTTGTCCAAGAAGAGCTGAATTTGTAGAAAGGGAGATATAGAAGAGAAAACCTTAGGAAATAATTAGATCACTAGTCGAAATATTACATCCAAAGATATGTATTGCAGCTTTATTTGTGACAGCAAAAATTAAAGTTACTTACTCAGACACTAAAGGGTAGCCTATGGGTTTGTTCTTTCAATAATAGTAACTGAATCTCTTCAATTGACTAAGCATTACTCAACACTAGGAATGCAGGTGTGAACAAACCAGACAAATTTTTTCTCTTGGAATTTGTATTCTTAGTAAGGGCAGGGGACTGGGAAAAGTCATAAAATAAATAAGTGAACAAATAAGTACATGTTTTGGGAAGAAGTGTATTCTACAAAGTCTATAACATCAGTAAATAAGATAGTCATGGGGTAGGTTCTGGGGAGAGTTATGAATTTAAATAGCAATGTCAGAAAACATCTCTCTGAAGAGGTGTCCTTAAACTTGGGCATCAACAGGGGAATGAATAACCATGAGCAACATTCATGGCGAGTATTAGAGGCCAAGGGAACAGCAGTTAAGGTCTTAAAGTGAACATGATGTTGCCTATCAAAGAAACAGGAGGTTCAGAGTAAACAAGGAGAAACACGATTTTCAAATAGTTTGACAAGATAGCGGTGATTTGGTCTTGTAGGACTTTGAAGACCATGTTAGTAGTTAGGATTTTACTGTAAGTATATGGTTGAAAAAAGGCTGATGTAATAAATATTTAATATAATAATGATCCTAAAACTTACAGTAGTACTGTAAAAGGCTCATTGTATGTTAAAGAAAAAAAAAACAACTACAGGAGAAGGACATACACAATGGAATCCAAAACATACTAAAAATGATAGATTAATTTCTGAGTTAATATATGCACACTTATAAGTTAAATAGGAAAAATTAAGCTATTCATTTTGGCCACTTACATATAAAAACATATCATAATGCACCATCTAAAAATAATATAAAAAGGCTCAATGATACCATTGCACTGGAAGCTTTGGACATCTCAATAATGTAATAATGAACAGTGGGTTTATGTAACCTAAATTTTTTTAATTTCAGTGTAAGTGAAAAATTGCAGAAAAATATTTCAAAATCAAGGGTTTCTTTCTTTCATAAGTAGATATAGTGATGGAAAATGCAATAAAGCTCTGAATTGTTATGCATATTCAAATGTAAAACATTTATTTCTACTTATTTTTTAAATTGATATATCTTATCTCAGTCCTGTCATTTTTTTTTTTCTAAATGGTTTCTTCCAGCTGATTGACTATACTTGAATACACTTGAATGTAGGGTTTGAAATGCGTTTCTATCTTTATTATTAGGTGAACTAATTTTCATATATGTACCTTTTGTTTTGTATAAAGTGATTATTTATAGATTGTGTATGATCTAAAAAAGGAACACTAAAATGTTTATTTATATATTTTCGTTTTAGTTGGATCACCATTATAATGAATTCAAACTTCACTCAATTATGTCTGAACATAAAGAGAAAATCACAGCAATCTCTTGGTGTCCACATAACCCTGATCTCTTTGCAAGTGGCGGTACTGATAACTTAGTGATCATTTGGAATGTTGCAGAACAAAAAGCCATTGCTAAGCTCAACAGTACAAAAGGTATATTTCTAACTGGGATTTATTTTATTGAATAAAACATTTTTATTTCAGCAAGCACTATTAGTATTATTAGATCGGGTCTTAAAATAGTGGCTTCAAACTCCCTAATGCACGTGTACAAAAATGAAACAGAATTTTATGAAACAATTATACTTAGAACATATGATCACTTGAAAACATAGTCAATATAAATAATTTTATTAATGTTTAAATATAAAATTAGCATAAAATAATATTAAATATATATTAAATATCAAAATGATCAATGGAAAGATTTTGTTAGTAAGACAAGTAAAAGATCTTGCCTGCTAATTATTCTGTTCCAATCTTTAACATACAAAGACAATATTACGCATATATTTGAGCATTGTCGAGCTACTTTCACACCTTCATTTTTAATTTGGTCAAGGTGGAAAGTACTAATTCACACAAATTGGATGTTATGGATTCAAATAATATCATTGTATGCTTACTACTTAGCATCGAGAACTCATTTAATTTTACTCCGTCATAATGGTGAAGTTAAGAAATCATTTTTCTGTGGTTAATGTCACAATAAAGCACTCTCTTTACCAAGTGCAGCTCAATTATTGATTATGGTTTTGAAAGCTTCCTGGATGGGTTTTCCATCTTTAGCTTCTTCTCTAAAAATTAATTATAAGCCGGGCTCGGTGGCTCAGCCTGTAATCCCGCGCCTTTGGGAGGCTGAGGTGAGTGGATTGCATGAGCCCGCGGGTTCGAGACCCGCCTGGGCAGGCGAGACCTCATCTCTACAATAAATCAAAAAATTAGCCGGGCGTGGTAGCGCGCACCTGTAATTCTGGCTACTCGGAAAGCTGAGGAGGAAGGATCACCGGAGCCCAGCAGGCCGAGGCTGCGGTGGCCAGGAGCGGCCACTGCACTCCAGTCTGGGCGACAGAGTGAGACTCCAACTCAAAAAAAAAAAAAAAAATTAATTATAACTTTGAGATAGAAAACTGAGACATGATGGTCTCACTAACTTTATTTTGTCCAGGTTTCTATTCTAAGTATGTAGCCACAATACCGGGAATTTATGGACAATTACCTTTAAATTTTGTTTCAAAAACATAATAACAATGCCTTTTTAAAACTTTACATTTATTCAACACATTTAGTACCTTGGTTTTTCTTTTGTCTTTTCAAATGTAGGTCATTAAGAATGCTGAAAATAGTAGCTCCATCAGTTTTGTTACTCAACTCTCATCTTAAAAATATTTGCCAAATGAAATTAATTTTTGACTAGGAAAATGTGAATCTCATTTTCAGGTTTATATACTCTGTTTTTTATTTTCACTTACAACATTCAGTGTATTAGAAAGCTAGTAAAATTTGCTCCAATCTCTGAGCAAAATATTTTTTTAAAGTTAACTATTCAGTGAGCTTCTATTAATGTAATTAATAGTTTTCTTTAAGGTTTTCTGTACATCAGTGAGAAAAAGCCAAATTACTTTTGTACTTTTGGTGCAGTTTTGCAATATGTAAACAGTGATTGGTACCTCAATCAAGAGTTTTTATATCTCCCCATGTTTTCTGGTTGTATCTATTTCTCCACCAGTTACAAATTCTATAGGTTATTCAAGCAATGTTTATATTGATCAACAATATATTTTCCCAAAACTTAAAATTCCACTTTGTGTGTTATTAATTTTAAATAATATAATAAGTCCTCCTTTAAAGTCTTTGCACATCTTACGTGCCATAAACTAATAATGTTGCAGGATATTTTTCTCATAAAGTTGTAACATAAAGTCTATACCATACTATAACTACATAACAAACACATTTTTTAAATGTTATGCAAAAATATGGTTTAGACAACATATTATTGTCTAATATAAGTATTATCAACTAGTTTATCTATAGATTTATCATCAAATACTATATATGTTATATTCATTCCTGGAGGAAGACTTTTATTCATCAGCTGTGATAGTAAAGCTAGTTTCTTTTGCCATTGAATATATAATTAAATAATACTTTTTAACCATTATAAAATGATTAAATAACTGTGGTAACAATTTTGGTAAATTTTGCATTCTTTTCCTTAAGATTTTTAAAAACTTATTGATAATGTCCTCATGCCATTTCCAAATACCTTAATCTGAGGATTAGAAGCTTTGATATTTTATATGCAAAATCCATGAATATTTTTGGTCATTTTTAGCTTAAGTATCCCCTTTTGAAATGTCTTAGACTCTATTTTTCTTTTTAGAATATAGCCTAAGCAAAGTAGAAATTTGCATTAAGTGAATATCTTGCCAGCTTTCCACATATAATCATTGAACTTGATCCTGACTCTGTATTTTTAACTTCATTCTTTTTTTTTCTAATACTCAACCCATTTAAAGGAAAATGAGTATTAGTTTGTTCAAATGTAAAATGTTAAATTTGAAAAATGTCACATTTTGAATATCAGTGAGTAATACTGCTTTCTATCTCAGATTACTGTTGGGAAAATTAAATGAGCTGGTATTTGTAGAGCTCTTGGAAGTACTTGTACATAATAACCCTCTACAGAAGCATCTCTGTTATTATGATATGACATTGTTACTGACCCCTTCACTTTCCTCACTACTTTTCTCTAAATATGCATTGAGAGCCAGCGTTCTGTTGTCCTTTTTCAACTGTGCTGTGGTAGTTTGAATCATATAGAATAACTTGTGGAAATTCTTCTTATGTTAATGTATCTGAAAACCACATCAACTTTTTTTTGGCCTTATTCATGTATATATTCATTCATTCAGCAAATACAGAATTTCTATTATGTGTAAGGTCATGAACTAGGCATTAGGCTTCCAGTTTTTACCTCTTGAAGCACGTAGATGACATAAACTGAAATTACTATCAACCAATAAGTTTCAACTCTGTCTTTGTTCATATCATTTCCTCCTCCTGGGAAATACTGCTTATTCCATATATTTAAACTCTATGCTTCCTTCTATGTATAATTCAAGTTCAATTTATTTCCAGGATAGTGGCCTAGTGGTTGCTAAACCTTTCTGTACATCAAAATCATTTGGATATGCTAGCTAAAAATAAATTCCTGGGTCCTAACTCCACAGGATCTGTTATGTTATATTTAGTTTGATAATTCTGATGCAGGCAATGAATGTATCTATGTTGGAAGACTCATAGTATTGCTCAAGTCATAACTTTTTCATAATACTTATTTTATAGATGATTTATTTGATCACAACAATAGTGTGAACATTAACCATTAACTTTTGTATTCTATCTTATAATGTAAAAGGTAATGTTACATATTATTATATTTTCTTAACTTTCATGTGAAATAAGTGGTCAAATACTTTTATTATCTCCATGTTATAGATTAGGAAACAGAGGTTTAGAGAAATAAAGTGACTTGTTTAGTTCACCTGAGGCAAAGCTAAGATTTGAATCTAAACTCACGATAAAACATAGATTGTAACAATAAGTCCACTGTTACTAAATTCTTTCAGGAGCATTTCTCTTTTCATGCTGTTAATCCCTATCTCCTCAATTTTTATTTAAAGTTCTTTAAAGCAGGAATTGTAGTCCATACTGTCTTATGTACCTAGAACAATGAGAGGTCTTACACACAAATACATAATAAATATTGCTTTACAATACAGCTGCTAAAATAAAGAACTCTATAAATTTATTTGACTACATGAAGCATATGATCATATTAGGAGTATTTGAACCTAACTAGATACTTTTCCCTTCATCATGGAAGATCCCCATATGTGTTCCCCTAAGTCTTTCGAATTTGTTTATGAAAACCCAATTCCCAAATAAAAAAGTAATGTCTTTTTAAAATAATGAACATCTTCTTGTATTTTAATTTGTTTTAGAAATGTACAGTGCAAACATTGTATAATGAATGATGCAATCTGATGTCATCTCTCTATTTGATGTACCGGTGTTTACTCTGTTCCAGGGACCCCTGCCTCTCTGAGCTGGTGCTGGAATGCAGATAATGCAGTGGCCTTTGTCTCCCACCGAGGTCCTTTGTTCATTTGGACCCTCTCAGGACCAGACAGTGGAGTGACTGTACACAGGGATGCTCAGGGCTTCTTGTCCGATGTCTGTGTGTTCAGATGGCATCCCCAGAAAAAGGGAAAAGTTGTTTTTGGTCATGTTGATGGAAGTCTGTCAATTTTTCAGCCAGGTAAGAATTTAATTAGTTGGGGTTCTTAAATTATATTTTTCTTACCATATACAAATTTGTACTCACTTAACAGAAAGCCAAAACTAACACAATTTTAATATAATAGTTTTTAAAATGTTATCCAGCGTGGTGCTGATTCTAAATATTCATTTGAAGCAAATTCTATTTATAGACATTATAATATATCAAATGCAACTGTGCAGATTTTACTTACAGTTAGCCCAAATCGGTCATTTGTACTTTTCAAATCAGGTATTTATTTCTGCACATATACTAAGACAATAACCTGAATGGGACTGGGCATGGTAGCTCACACCTGTAATCCCACAACTTTGGGAGGCCGGGGCTGGAGGATTGCTTGAGCCCTGTTAGAGGCTAACGTGATCCATGATTGTGACACTGCATTCCAATCCGAGCAACGGAGTGAGACCCTGTCTGCAAGAGAAGGGAAGTGGAAGGAAGGAAAATAACCTTGATGCAGATTTTTATCTGGTCAGCTGGGCTGCGGGAGTGTCAGCTCGATGGGCTGGCAAACCTAGCCCCTGGAGTGCTGGCTCTAATGGGCCAGCAAGCCAAAGCCTGAGAATGTTGCTGATTTGGTGGGCTGGCAAGCCAGCCCCCAGGAGTGTCTCAGCTTTGGAGTCTCCCCTTCTGCGGGCAGCTCTCTCCTTAGGCCAGCAAGCTTGCCTCCAGGGTGTGTAGCTCTTCGGCTCTGAGCTCTTCCGCAGTTCTTCAGATGTGGGTTCTTGTCTCACGCCCAGAAGGAATGAGGGACATGACTGGGTAGAAAGTGAGAAAGCAGGATTTATTGAGAGCACAGGAAAGCTCCCAGAGCAGGAGGGGACCCCAGAGGGTTACCGATTTGGAGCTGAAACTGGTGCTTATATAGCCCTAAGACCAAGCCAATTGGTTAGCACTAGCTGTGAAGTGATTGGTTGGCACTAGCTGTGCTGATTGGTCAGTACTAAGACCCAATCAGCTGAAGGTAGGGGCCCAATAGTAAGCTGATTGGTCGGCACTTGGCAGTGAGCTTGGTTTGTTTTCCAGTCCTGGCAGTGAGTGTTTTCTTGCCCTAGCCTCCAGGGCTTGTAGGGAGCTTGTTGACCCATTTGAGTGTACCAGTCTGAGAGGTTTGCAGGAAGTTTGCTTCTTTATTACCAGGGGACCAGTCGTTTATCTGCGTAGCTTTTCTCTAGCTAGCTTTACTTTCAATCTGAATGAGCAAGGACATAAAGCTGGAAGATATGACTAACTAATACTACTCCGCAATATTTTTCCACTTGCTTATAAAAATATTGTGATGCCACAGCTCCTTAGCATAGGCTTTGATCTTGACATTAAAAAGAACAATAATTTTTTGAACCACTATTAATTAACTAATTTGGCTGAATATAAAGGTCTGAGAAATTCGTTTAGTGTTCATTTTAAAATTTAAACAATAATAAAAATTATAATTAAAAAATAAAAAAATTATCTAAGTTGATCTTCCTCATAAATAAGTACTGTTCACATTTGGGAAACTTGCTTTTTAGCCATCTAGCATCTCTGTTGATGTATGTGACTACTGGCTGCCTAGACACAGGATTGAAAGTGCTTTTTCCGAAACAGGATAACTGCTTTCACAAAACACATCACATTCAATTTATCTGAACTTAACAGAAGAACAAAGAAATTGAAATTGAGCAGAAAAAATTGTGAAAATTCAAACAACTCTTCAGAAATAATTTTCTAAGGTTAAAATATATTATGTAAAAACATTGATATATTGGGGCCACTATATATTTAATACATTAAAGAAAGATAAAAATAAATATACGGTTTTTTCCACCTGTCCTCTCAGCTCTTTGTACCTGTCTCCTATTGTTTCTTCTAGTTGTACTGATTTAACAAGGGGATGGTTTCATCTGTTTCTTAAAGACTAGCATAAGAAGGAATCAGTGACTTGTTTCCTTTGCATTTGTTGTCTCAGACATCTGCACCATTACTTCCTCTGTTTCCTCCACTGCATTGGGAGCAGCTTCTGTTTTGTAGTTGGGCATGAAGGCTCATAGTTAAGTGACATAATTCACAGCTTTCTTTGTTTTGATCTGGTGAATGCCACTTCTCTGCCCTGTACTCTTCTTCTCTGACATTCTTCCTTAGTGTATAATATTTGAACAGTCTGAGCTATGTGCCTTCCTTCAATCCCCGTGAACATGATTTTTGGACAATAAAGATGGTGTGTGTGTGTTGTGGTTCCTCTCTGGTCTCTGAGTTATGTCACCTTCTCATTAGAGACATTCCCCCCTTCTCCCCTGGCAGGCCAGTACTCAGAGATCTCATCAGTATCGTGACACTTTCTTTTTGAACAATCTGTGAGCTGCCTAAGATCTAAAGAGGATTATGAGGCGTATGTTTTTATTTTGGTCTAAATTACATCCTAGGTTATTTTTTATATTTTTTTGATTTGTCATTGTGACTATCTCCTTTTTCACTGACTAGTGCTATCTTTTCTCTTGCTTTATTATTTTTTTAGGCACCTTTGAAGGTTTTAGGCCATAGGACATTGAGACACTGTTGTATATCTAAAATATAAAACAGAATGCTTATTTTGACACAGATAATATGAAAGGAAAAGAGGCTTCCTTTGCTTTTATCTGTCATAAGTTTACAGGAAAGAAAGTAGGATTGACTGAGCCCAAGGGTTCAAGACCAGCCTGGGCAACTTGGCAAGATTTTGTTTCTGCAATCAATCAACTAATTAGCCAAGCATAGTGGTGCACACCTGTAGTTCTAGCTCCTTGGGAGGCTGTGCCAGAAGGATCACCTGAGCCCAGCAGGTCGAGACTGTGGTGGCCATGAACATGCGACTGCACTTCAGTCTGGGCAACAGAGTGAAACTCTGCCTCAAAAAAAAAAAGAAAAAGAAAGTGTAATATTTGAACAATCTGAGATATGTGCCTTCCAGAAGAAGTCATTGTTTTCCAATAACTCAGTCTTGTAGTTGTTAAACAAAGTAATTTGTACAGCTGTACCCAAGTCAACAAGTGTTATTTTTCTAGATCTGCCCATGTATTAGTTTGCTAGAGCTAATACCAGAAAAGTTTCACAGAATGACTTAGAACAACAGAAATTTGTTGTTTCACAGTTCTGGAGGCCAGAAGTATAAAACCAGGTATTGGCAGAACCATAATCCCGTTGAAGGCACCAAGGAAGAATCTCTTCCAGGTCCCTGGCTTCTAGTAGTCTTTTGACTGGTGTAAGCCTAAATCCAGTTGTCACGTGGTGTCCCTCTGAGTGCATGCATGTCTCTGTGTCCAAATTCCCCTTTTTATAAGGACACAGACATACTGGATTAGGCTGCACTCTAAGGACCCCATCTTAACTCCATTAAGGACCCTAATTCCAAATAAGATCATATTCACAGTACTGGTGGTTAAGACTTTAACATCTTATGGCAGGAGGAGGACACCCTGCAACCCAACAACCCAATACAAACTTTTTAACCTCATTTATTTTCACAAGATTTATTTAGCAATTGACATGCCAAAGAACTATGAAAGGTACAGTCTAGGAATTTTCCTTTTGCATACACATGAGATAATAAATCATGAAGGAAGCACTACCTTTTAATTTTGGCAGTGCATTCTGGATTTTGAGTTTGAAGCTTTGAGATTGTTAGCATTAATATTGGCATCGTTAGGCTTCTTAGCTTTCATGAGGAATTGTTAACTCCTTTTTTTTGTGGGGGGGTGAGTTGGAGTCTCATTCTGTCGCCCAGACTAGAGTGCAGTGGCATGCTCCTGGCCACCGCAGCCTCAACCTGCTGGGCTCCAGTGATCCTTCCTCCTTTGCCTTCCAAGTAGCTGGAACTACAGGCATGCACTACCATGCCCAAATAATTTTTTGATTTATGGTAGAGATGAGATCTTGCCAAGTTGCCCAGGTGGGTCTCGAACCCATGGGCTCAGGCAATCCACTCACTTCAGCTTCTCCAAGCACTGGGATTACAGGCTGAGCCACTGAGCCCGGCTAGCCCTATCTTCTTAATAACCTGCTGGCACCACAGATGGTTCTATCCTTACATTACAAGTAGGATTTCTGTTCTCAGTTCCTTGTAGGAAACTATGACCTCAACCTCTGTTTTCTAGTCTTTCTCTCTCAGAAGAAAAAGTAAATATCCATGGAGAACTGTCCACAATAATGCAGTGCATCTGTCATTTCAGGTTTAAACTGTGCTGTGTATGTTTATATATTTGCATATGTGTGTTACTGAATGCCAAAGATTAAATTGAGGTCCTGTTGCTTGCCATACAGAAAGCCAATAGTCAATGAGACTGCAAGTGTTGCCAGGGAAAAAGTCTTTTTATTGGGTGATATCAGCTAAGAAAAATAAGAGATCAGTCTCAAATCTGTCTCACTGTCTCACTAAAGTCAGAGGTTTATATAATGGAACAATATAGAAAACAGGAACTAGGGAGGGGTAAGGAAGAGGAGTTGGCAAACAGGTGGAGCCTGCATCTCCTCTGTTGCATGCAGGTGATCTGGTGAGTTTCAGTTTATTGTTACTACAGGCCAGAAGGTTAGTTTCCTAAGAAAGGTACTCAGATAAGACAAATGTTAAGTCTTAATTTTTAAGTCCAGGAAGATCATTTCCTATGTTTATTCCCAAATACTGTAACCGTTAGTTCTGTGGGGAAATTGGACTGGTTTCAAATGCATTGGTGTAGGAGGGCATGATAGGTGATCCAGCTGTGCCTTCTATTTCCTTTCAGTCTGAAAATCACCATGTTATTCTGTACTATTTATTGGATTTTGACATAGAAATTCTTGTATGAATAGAGGATTTCAGGGCAAAACAATTGGAAAACTGCTTTAGCTATATTAAGTTATAGTCTCAGACCAAATTCACCAGACAACTTGAAAAAATCTTTATTATAAAAATATTTAAGAGGAATTGATTCTGGTAGTATCCCATGAATGTATGTTAATGACATTTGCATTGTTTTATTTTAAGAATGTTGTAGGTGACACTGTGCCTATGTGACACTGTTACATAGTGGACGAAACAAACTCAGTTCCTACTTCTTCACTCTCACATCACACTTCTGCCACCAGATGTATGGGAGGTTTTCTCCACACACCAAGCAAGCAGTCACTTCTGCAGCAGGCACCAGCTGGGTATTCTCCAACTCTATTCTGACACTACTTGGAGATAACATCACATCACACAGATTGAGGGCACAGTCCCACAAGATTCCCCCTCTTCCAATGCCAACAAGCCCCAGATTATGTTCCCAGTGCCACTGACAGACTAGATATACATCAGGATTCCCACGGTCTCCTCCTTTGGCTTGATTAGTTTGCTAGAGTGGCTCACAGAACTCAGGAAATTGCTTACTTACACTTACAGGCTTATTATAGTGGATATTGCAAGGGGTACAAATGACAAGATGCAGAGAGCCAGGTGTGTGGAAAAGGGTGTGGAGCTTCCATGCCCTGTCTTGGCAGGCCAGCCTCCAGGGTAAGAAGCTCCTAAGCCCTGTCCCTTTTGGGTTTTTATAAAGCTTCATTACACAGGCATGATTAAACCATTGGTGATCATACATAGGTTTGATTAAACCACTGGTGATCAGCCTAGCATTCAACCCCTCTTCCCCTTCCTGGAGGTTGGGGGATGGGGCTGAATGTCCCAACCCTCTAATCAAGCCTTGGTCTTTCCAGTCCCTGTCCTGACATCCTGACCCCACCCAGGGACCACCAGCCACCCATCAGCTCATTAGCATACAGAACAACACTATAACTTTAGAGAGTCCAAGGATTTGGGGAATGAGAATGCCAGGAAATGGGATGAAAATAAAATATAATATCGCATTCCACTACATGGGAATCATTCATTTCCTGTCTCAATTCAATGAAAACTTTGGCTTCTCCTGAGCACATTTTTTTATTTGTTCATTTTGTTTTGTTTTTATCCTATGGAGTTGTAAATTGTGTAATGTTTTCAAAATCACAAAATTAAAATTATTTTATATCTCAAATTCAAAATTGTAACAACTGTATGATGATGTGCTACCTTATTATTTTTCATCCCCAATTTTTCTCAGACCTAGTTTGTTTTGTTTTGTTTTTTAAAATTGAAGTTGTCAACCTAATCTTTTTAATGTATTTGTATCATATGCTTCTGTCTGTAGCTGACAACACAAGTTGCCTGATAATTGTTTAATAAAATCTAAAATAAATAAGGTAGTATATAGAAGTAAAAATATCTCAACTGTTGTAAAGACTGGCTCTAAAATTTTATAGATTTTCTGATTTAGAGTAAAAATTAGGATACTATATAGAAAAGATTGATGAATATAATTTGTTGTTTTAGCAGTAAGCATAGGACTTTAAAGTAACATGATTTAGATGTGATAGCATTAACACCACAGATTTTCCCAGGTTTTATGTTGCTGTTCTTTTAGTTTTTTTTTTTTTTTATGGGCTGGAATTTTTTATTTAATAAACCATAGATACTAACTGGGATATGCAAATACCTAAAATTTACTTTAAAAACAGCTAATAAAGCTTTGGTTCATAAGTCATTTTTCTAAGTCAACGTTGTAGTGATCATCTATACTAATATGCATCGCTGTTTATTATACAAAATAGCAATTAAATATATACTTGTCTTAGGAAAGGAAAAAGTAAACAAACTTTTATTGGTGATTATATGGAAAAATTTGATAAAGCCAAATGAAAGAAATGTAGCATCCATCTTTTATGGTTATATATGTAAAAATTTTATATTTAAAAAGTAACATAACCTGGCAAATCTAATTTCAAACCAGAAATGATAAGATTTTCAATTCACTTTACAAATATCTTATATATCGAAGGAAAAATTTTCTGCTTTTCTTCTTCTTTTGTGATCTGATATTTTGAAAAATATGCAGTTATAGGATTACAATTATCTTTCAATTGCTTTTTAAAAAATAAACCCTACTTCAGGCTGACTGGCACTTTCTGTTAAGGTTGCATTCTCTAAACTCAGTTGTTTCACTCTCTTTTGAGAACGAAAAGACTGACCCATTGGAATTTCCATGGGGTACATCAGCAGAATTATTTTTTCCATATTTTCAGTTGTGTATATAGTATACAAGAATAGGAGGATTGTTTGATGATTTTTGCTTCATTTTTTTCCTTTTTTTGCGGCGGGAGGGCGGTTAGAGTCTCACTCTGTCACCAAGGCTAATTTTTAATTTATTGTAGAGACAAGGTCTTGTCAAGTTTCCCGGGCTGGTCTCGAACCAGTCAGCTCAGGCAGTCCACTCTCCTCAGCCTCCCAAAGTGCTGAGATTACAGGCTGAGCCCCCGAGCCTGGCTATTTTTGCTTCATTTAATTGTTGTCTAATCTTCCTGTTTTTCAGGCTTCTCTATTTCTATTAGTAGTAAGGTGTGAATTATGATGATGATAAATAAGATGAATGAGAAAGGAATAACAGTAAATTTTGATAATATTTACTGCTACTGTTTATTGATAGAATATACCCCATTGTTCTATGCAGTCTGTCAGATAACTCATTTACTGTTTTTAAAACTCTGAGGTTAGTGTTTTTATGTTCTCCATTATAAAAATTTAAAAAACACTGGCCAAGATCACAAAACTAGTTAGAGGTGGAACTAGGATTGGACCCAGTCAACCAGCTCTGACATCTGTGCTTTTTAATCACTACATGATGGTCATCATTTTAATAGGCATTTCCCTTATTCCTATCCTGCCGCAACTCAGTTAAATTTGTAATCATTGACAAGACTGAGTGTATTAATTATCTGTTTGGATTTCTCACAGCTTTTCAGTAACAAATAGGAAAAACATTTAAGGCACTAGAGATCACTAGAGGAGAGTATTCAGTATGACTTTCATTATTAGGACATATTAATTAATTCCCCCTCATTTACACATCAGTTATTGTCTTCAGCATAGATTGTGGGGTTTGTATTTCAGTACTCTCAGAGATAGGTGGTGTACAAGGAGAAAATTAACATGATCCAAATTACTGACCTTTTTTTTTTCAAAATTGTGAAAATAATTTTCTTTATATTTTAATAGGTAATAAAAATCAGAAACATGTTTTGAGACCTGAATCTCTTGAAAGGACAGATGAAGAAGATCAAGTTACAGCCTTGGAATGGGACTCATTATCTACTGATTATCTTCTCGTGGCTAATTTGCATTATGGAATTCGCCTAGTAGATTCTGAATCACTTTATTGCATAACAACATTTAATCTTCCCAGTGTAGCGGCTTCTGTACAATGCTTGGCCTGGGTTCCCAGTGCTCCTGGGATGTTTATAACTGGAGGTAAGCTTTCCCCCCATTCTCCAAAGCTTTAAATATGGAAGATTTCTTAATTGAATTAGAGAAATTGTAGTCTGTGATTGGTTAATTTTGTGTAAACTTATTGCAGTCTAAAATATTATCATGTATTATAGTAAATGCCTAGTTTGCTTTTATTTATACCATATGTCATTAACATAATGACAGATGAAAATGAAATTAAGGCCCACTGTTCCAGGTTTCTGGAGATACCTTGTAATATATTATATATGTGCACGCTTGTGAGTGTGTTTGTGTTGGTGTGTGTGCAAAAGAGAAAGACCGTTCAATTTTAGGCATGATGGAATGACAGTGAAAGTACTGACCAGAAAAGCAATTTAGCTGCATGGGAGCTCTAGGAGCCCTCCGTCTTAGTCCATTTTGTGTTGCTATAACAGAATATAATAGGCCATACAATGTATAAACAACTGAAGTTTATTTGGTTCACAGTTCTAGCAGCTGAGAAGTCCAAGAGCATGGCACCAGCACCTGGTGTGGACCTCTGTGCTGCTAAAGGCAGAAGAGGGCAAGAGTGAGAAAGCAAGAGGAAACTGAACGTGCTTAGATAACAAAGCCACTCTCAGAATAAATAATCTACTCCCATGATAATGACATTAATCCATTCACAGAAGTAGAGCCCTCATGAACTACTCACCTCTTATTAGACCCCACCTTCTGACACTGTTACATTGAGGATTCAGTTTCCAACACATGATCTTTGGGGTGCATGTTCAAACCATAGCTCTCACTGATAATTTTAACTGCCCATGACCAGATCTGCCTAGTTAGATTCAGACATTTTTAACTGAGATTGAAAGTGAAAATGGAATTCATCACCATGGGTTGAAAGGATGCTTCTTCATGATCTCCTAATCATGAGATAATTAGCAAAGCTAAGTAGACTCTAGGGGATAGAAAGATGGTAGAATTTAGGAATAATAATTAGACATTAAATGACTCTGCTTCAGCCATTTATTTGGGTTCAGAGAGAGGCCTCTGAAGAGACAGAGTTATTTTAGCAACTATATAAATACTTCCCAGATTTGCTTAGTGTAAAATAATAGAGATTCTTCATTCCCTCCACATTTAAAAAAATTATTTACTTCAGTATTAACATCATACAGGCAGCCCTCTGTATCTATGGGTTCTGCATCTATAGATTCAATTAACTGTAGGTCATAAATATTTCCCCCAAAATCCACAAAGTTTCAAAAAAGCAAAACTTAACTTTGTAGTGCACCTAGTACTACATTGAATCCGTGTGAATGAATTGTTGTGTAGTTGTTGTGTTAAGTGTTATGAATAACCTAGACTTAAAATATAGAGAATGTGGTAGGTTACATGCAATTACTATGGCATCTTAAATCAGGGACTTGAGCATCCATGGATTTTGATATCTGAGGGGGGTCCTGGAATCAATCACCAGATATCAAGAGACAACTGTACATGAAAGTTGATGGAATCTTAATTTCTATATCCTAATTACCTTTTATTTTATAGAATACAATAATAGGCATGGCAATTTTTAATATACCTGTTAGTGAGATATACTTCAGTGTCATAAAATTCACCATTTTTAACGTATACAGTCCAGTGGTTTCTAGCATATTCACAAAATTATACAAAGTCATGATCACTTTTTCTTTTTTATTTCTGTTTTAATCAACGGGATACTTGTGCAGGTTTGTTACATGGGGATATTGTGTGATAGTGAAGTTTGGACTTCTATTGATCCTGTCACCCAGATGGTGGACATGGTACCCAGTGAGGAATTTTTCAGCCCTTACTCCCTCTCAGAGTTTCCACCCTTAAGGAGTGCTCCAGTGTTTGTTGTTCCCATCCTTGTGCCTGTGTCCTTGTGCCTGTGTGTATACAGAATAAATCCCACTAACTAAGGTGAACAGGTATTCAGTTTTCTGTTTCTGTTACAATTTGCTTAGGATGATGACTTCCAACTGTATCCATGTTGTTACAAAGGGCATCATGATTTTGTACTTTTTTATGGCTGCATAGTATTGCATGGAGTGTATGCACCACATTTTCCTAATCCAGTCCACCGTCAATGGGCACCTAGGCAGGTTCCAAGTTTTTGCTATTGCACTTAGTGCTGCGATAAACATGCGTGAGCAGGTATCTTTTTTGTAGAGTGATTTGTGCTCCTTTGGGTACATACGCAAGTAGTGGAATTGCTAGTTCAAACTGTACTTCTATTTTTAGTTCTTTGAGAAACCTACAAACTGCTTTCAGCAGGGGTTGAACTAGCTTGCATTCCCATCAACAGTGTAGGAGCATTCCCTTGTCTCTGCATGCTTGCCAACATCTTTTTTTGGGGGGGGTCTTACTTTTTAGTAAAAACCATCCTTTTTAGCAAAAGTAGAATAAGATGGTTTCTCGTTGTGGTTTTGGTTTGCATTTTTTTGTTGATTCATGATGCTGAACATTCTTTCATATGTTTGTTGGCTGCTTGTATGTCTTCTCTTGAGAGGTTCATGTCCTTGGTCCACTAATCAGCACTATCTAATTCTAAAGCATTTCATCATTCCATCAGGAAACCCTGTGCCCATCAACAGTTACTTTCCATTACGCCCTTCCCACATCCCCTGGTGCACACCTGTACATACATAAACTGCTAATCTACTCTCTAGGTCTGTGGATTTGTGTGTTCTGGACATTTCATATAAAGAGAATCATTGAATATGTGGCCATTTGTGTCTTGCTTCTTTCACTTAACATAAAGTTTTCAAGGTTCATCCTATGTTATAGCATGAAGCAGTCCTTCATTCTTTTTTGTGGCTCAATAATGTTCCATTATATCAGATTGTGTTTAGCAGTTGTTAGATATTTATATTGTTTCCACTTTTGTCCTATTATGAATAATATTACTATGAACATCTTTATGAGGGGGGAATCCAGACAAACCCAGAATTATCTTTTGGAAGGGAGGTCCCTTGTATATAGGTTCCCTCCATTAGTTAAGTGTTCTAGGAACCCATTGGCATCAGTGTACCAGCTAGCATTATTGTGAGAGATGATTTGTAGAAGAAACTTTCCTAGCAAACAGGTGACCAGTTCTTCTACCATGACAGCACACCTGCCCAGATTGCACTGAGTGTTCAGCAGTTTTTGACCAAAAACAGCATGACCCCTGTGTCCCCCTTTCCTTATCCACCTGATCTTGCCCCAAGTGATTTTTTTGAATCCCTGGATAAAAAAAGTCCTCAAAGGGAAACATTTAAAAAACTCTTGAGGAATGGAAAAAGCATCTTAATAGGTGCATTGCATCAAATGGAGAGTACTTTAAAGGTGACTAAAGTTTAAACATGTAAGAATAAATATACAATTTTTTATAAATTCTGGGGTTTGTTTTGTTTTGTTTTGTTTGGCCTCCCTGTATATACGTGTTGTTTTTCGTTTTTTTGTTTTGTTTTGTTTTGTTTTGTATAAACGTAGCTTATAATTCTGTTAAGTATATACCTAGGAGTGGAATTACTGAGTTATATGGTAATTCTATTTTTAATTCTTTAAGAAACTGCCAGGCTGTTCTCCAAGCAGTTATTAGAGTGGGATTTTCCAGAGAAAGGTGACTTTATAATTGGTCTTTAAGTATGTTTGACAGTTCTTACTTGTCTAAAAGTGGACAATGGGGCAATTTACAAACATTTCAAAAGAGGAAGGGTTATTTAATGGTAGAAGTCAAGAGTTCTCTGTGGCTGACCTTTTCTTAGAACAAGTGTGTGTCACTGCAGAACTTTTTTGGATGTCACATTGTTATAATGGTCTTTTGAGGGAGAAGCTTCTAAGGCAGGCAGTTTCCACCTCTAGAAAAGTATTTGGAACAGGAAAAAAAAAATAGTAAGGCATGCCGAAAATTTAAAAGTTAAGTAGCATCTTGGTCATTTTTGTGAATGACTGTGGTATTATTGTTAATATGTTGTCAATAATTAGTGCTAAAAATCTTGTAAGTTGAAGTGTTTTTTTGTTACTTCTATGTCTAGACATTTTTTTCCAAACAAAATTTGTTGTTAACATATGCTTTTTTCTTGATCTGAATAGATTCTCAGGTGGGCGTTTTGCGCATTTGGAATGTTTCAAGAACAACACCTATTGATAATCTTAAATTAAAGAAAACAGGATTTCACAGCTTACATGTACTTAATTCTCCTCCAAGGAAAAAATGTAAGTAAAAATACTATTAAATTTTAATTTTTAAACATACTATACTTCAGTCAAATAAAATGAATGGAAAAGTGATATAAGCAAATCAAATATATGCTAGTGAAAAGCTGTTTTTTTGTGTTTTTTTTTTTCAATCAGTATTTTTTATTATGGTTTTGTGGGGTACAGTTAAGGGTTAGGTGTACAATTACGTTTCATTCAGGCACCCTGTTGATAAGAGGTGTTTTCCCATCCCCCGACAGATATTTGCTACTGTTAATCCCATCCTCCTCCCCCCCATAGTTTCCCAGTACCATCAGTCATTATCTTATAGTATTACATTGGATGTTCAAGGTCCATTATATGAGTGAGAACATGTGATATTCGGATCTTTGTTTCTGTGAGAGGTCACTCAGTATTATAGACTCTAGTTCCATCCAGGTTGCTGCAAAATTCATGATTTTGTTCTTTTTTATGACTGCGTAGTATTTAAATGACTTTTGGAAATATGTGTGCTGAAGGAACCATTAAACCACATGATATTTAATATTACTAAATTGAAAACATTTAGAGCCAAGTTGCATTTGTAAAATGCTATTCAATTAGAATATTCAGATAATCTCAAATTTTCTATATGGGGAAGATAAAAACAATGATATTGATGAAGATAAACTATAAATATCAAGAGTGATGGGATTAAATAAAATTAATCTTAACTAGGAGAATTTTTATTTTAAACGTGACTCATTTACAGTCTGTACAGTTAATAACAAAGTTAAAATCACCTAAATATTCAAGTTACAGGATCTGGAACGTAGCAAATATTTCATGTTTGAATACTAGTTGTCACTGGATTAGTAGTTAGTATTGTAGATCTTCTTTATCTTCTTCATTTATTTTTGTGTGTCCTTTTCTGATTATCATTCATTGCTTCTATGATTAAAAAAATAATAATAAAATAAACAAGCAATAAAAGAAAAAAATTTGAACACTGGGATAGATTTGGAATTAGAATTTTTTTAAAATATAAAGGAATGGAAATTGACTTCCTGTTAAGTCCATCATGATTACTCTGCATGGTTGGTAATGTTCCCATTCTGTGTGTCAGAAAATGTGGGGTAGGGAATTTAGTGACTGAAAAATCTGGCATAATCAATTCCTCTTTAATCTCTTCTGTCTGTCTTTGTAATATGCTAAGTAATTACCAATGGTTATTCAAAGTAGTGTTATTTTGGTGTCTAATTTAGTGGGTAATGGCAAATAGTGGAAAATCTCTGTATTTGACTCTCCAGCCTTTCTATGAAGCTTTTCTACGAAGTCCTAATATGTCTAGAGTTTGAAAACTGGAGGGTGTAGAAATAGTAGGACTGGAGAAGTAATCTGCTGGAGGCTGGCATATTGTTTAGGTATCCTGCATTTTGGGGGGGGGTCCTTGTTAGTTTTTTAATTTGTTTGGTGGCTATGAATACCCATTTCATGGACTGACTGAAGCAATAGTGGTTGTTTTCTTTCATATAGTTTAAAATTAAAAATGTAGTCTGTATTTATTAAACAAAAATCAGAAAATATGAAGAAGCACATGCTAATCTTGACGTTTTTGAGCAGTTCCTTTCAGGTAACCTATTGTTAAACTTCTAGGTTTCCTTTCTACATTTTTTTAGCATAACAGAAAATATGGAATATGAAAATGAAATTTTGTAAAGGTAACTACATCTTTACCAAATTCTAAAAAACATGAATTACAGATAGTACATGAAGGTTGTCAAAACCACCCATGATACCAACTAATTAAAATATTAGAAAACCAGTCATGGATCATATTAATTTTAAACCAAACTATCAGCAAAATTTTATTGAACCAAATTGGTTGCTAACAAATTCCGCTTTTGTTACTAGTGATTCAGTCTAGTTTGGACTTACTGTCGTTTTCAGATTCTGAGAAATTAGTGTTATTCCTTTGAATGCAATAAGAAAGACATTATTAAATTTTAATAAAAAGGGAAATACTGAGGGATATATTTTCATATTCCAGTATGTAATCATTTACACTGATTTCATTGTTTTGGATTATGTCTGCAAGAAAATATTCACATTTTAAGGAAAAGCTTCTTGAGAGAAGACAAAATATGGTATAAAGAATATACAAGCCGGGCTTGGTGGCTCAGCCTGTAATCACGCGCCTTTGGGAGGCCGAGGTGAGTGGAATGCCTGAGGCCGCGGGTTCGAGACCCACCTGGGCAACTTGGCGAGACCTCATCTCTACAATAAATCAAAAATTAGCCGGGCGTGGTAGCGCGCACCTGTAATTCCAGCTACTCGGAAGGCTGAGGCGGAAGGATCGCCGGAGCCCAGCAGGTCGAGTCTGCGGTAGCCGGGAGCGGCCACTGCACTCCAGTCTGGGCGACAGAGTGAGACTCTAACTCAAAAAAAAAAAGAATATACAAAAAGATAAATAAACAGGGGGACACTTATGTAATTGAAAGTAGGAGAAATGGAAGTTTGTCAAAGTTAAAAAGAAAAGAAACCTGAGGAAGAAAAATTGAGATGCAATGTGGTGTCAGTGTTGAGATTCTAAATTTGAGTATCAAAGTGGATTATAAGTAATCTCAAAAGTAATGATTTTCATTGACTTGGAAACTAGTGGCAGAGAGTTATTTGTTTAAAAAAATCGCATGCATATATGTTTGTGTGTGTGGAAGGGAGAATTAGCTATTATACCAGTATTTAGAACAAAGGTTATAATTCACAAATAATCATGCTATGCTATAATTTATGAGAAGATAAGAAATCAAATGATTGCAACAGATTGTGATTCTTTGCACACTAATTTTCATCCATATGCTCCATCTGCACTTCTGAACACCTTCTATTAGTATGCAAATAATATTCAATTTTGTGCTTATATTGTCACATTTTTAGACAGTGCTGAAGAACTGTCCACGTGGCAGAAAGTGTGATCATTGCTGAGCAGTTTACTGATACAGATTCTGGATTTTAAAAAAAAGAAAAATCTTTATAAATTAAGTCCTATAATTTTATTCCTTTGGGAAGTTGTCAACATAAATATTTGTTCTTCTTTTTAGTTTTAATCCAATCTCCAACCAAAAATCATTACACATCTTCAGCGAGTGAAGCAGCTATACCTCCAGCTTTGACACAGAATCAAGCTTTCTTTCGTCCTCCTGGTCATGCACTGTGTTGTTTCTTGGATGGTGGAGTTGGACTTTATGATATGGGAGCTAAGAAGTGGGATTTTCTTAGGGATTTGGTATGTCTGTGGTCATTCCTTCTATAACACATAATGCTTATTTTCTGTAAACCCGTGACTTTTACTGGTGTATTAATGTTATTTTTAAATGTTAATAATTAATAATAATCAATTAAAATAAATAAGTTAAAATAATTAATCACATAGTAGGACTTTATCTTAGTTGATTAAAACTTTTTAGAAAATATGTATGGAATGATTATTTAAAATAAATTTTAAACATTATACTTCAAAAACTACTGTCTACTTAGTTGATATTTTATGTATAATGGAAAATTACATAGCTGTACCATGAGAATAGAATATCTTTCTATTGGAAGCGAAATGAGAATATCTTCCAGGAGACTAGAGTATCTTTTAGGAGAAAGGACAAGTCAATTTTTGCTGATTGTGTCAAGCCTTCTGTTCTCATTTGTAAATTGAGTAAGGTTGGAGTATATGTTTTCTAAGATTTATTTCTATTATTGAATCACTATAATAGTTTGTGACTCTGTGAATTTTGTTCTTATGATAATTAAGGCTCTATATAAGATTGAATACAACTTCTCTTAGGTCCCACATTTTTGTCTGGTTTTGTTCTGTGATATATTCCCACTACCTAATACAGTGCTTAGCACACTGCAAGACTACATTTAAAGTTATGTGGAATGAATGAGTGAATACTCACAACAATATACATATATTGTATTGTAATTAATATTGATAAAAAAACATCCTCCTTACGTCTTCCTAGTTTAGAGTTTATAAAAATGCACTTGGTTTTACTACAGATTTGAACTAGATGAATCAAATCTAGACATTTAAGAAACTTTTAAATGTTAATTGTTTTTCTATGATCTCACTTAAAAAAGGAATCTAGAACTGTAATAATTGTTCTTGTAAAAGAAGGTATTGTTACATCATTTCAAGATTGCTCATTTAATTTGTCCTCAAATGTGATGTTGAACTATAGAGAAAATATTTTTAAACAATGTGTAGTTTAGTTATTTTTAAATATTTCTTTTTTTTCTTATTCATTAAAGGATGATTTAATTTTCTTTTCATTTAAACTTTTCATGTAAACTCTTTCCCAGCATGGTAAACTTTGTCTATATTTCAAATTATCATTTATTTTCAAACAAATTTATGAACGAGAAGGGAGAAAAAGAAAACAATACATTTGAATCTATAAAGTTAGCTGGGCTTGGTGGCTCAGCCTGTAATCCCACGCCTTGGGAGGCTGAGGTGAGTGAATTGCCTGAGCTCGCGAGTTCGAGACCCACCTGGGCAACTTGGCGAGACCTCATCTCTACAATGAAATCAAAAAATTAGCTGGGCGCGGTAGCACGCACCTGTAGTTCCAGCTACTTGGAAGGCTTAGGCGGAAGGATCGCCGCAGCCCAGCAGGTCGAGGCTGTGGTAGCCGGGAGCGGCTTTGCACTCCAGTCTGGGCGACAGAGTGAGACTCCAACACACACACAAAAAAAAAAATCTATAAAGTTATGTAAATAGAAGTTTTACAATCTGAATTCAATAGTCTTTTGTTACGCTTCATATTAAAATATGTTTTATTAAAAAATCTATTTTAAATTTGTAATTCAAATAAATACCAAACATTACTTGATCATAAATTATTTCAGTGGCTTTTCTCCCTTTAAAAATGTATGCCAGTCAGAAAAAGACAGTCATTTTTTTTCTTATATGTTCTATTAACACAGCCCCACTTTTGAAATTACTAGAAGTTTTACTACAAGAAACAGCTCTGATTTGCTATATGTATAAAACACATCCACACAGTCCAAGTTACATGGCATAAGAAAAATAATATTCATATAATTTCAAAAGGTATAACTTCCTTATGAATGTTTGCTTTATTATAACTAAGAAAAATACAACAAAAATTTCCTCTTCAGCTCTGCTGTCCTTTTGGTAAGAAGAAAACACAGAAGAAACATTTTTAATTTGGTTCTTGCTGTGTGAATTTTCAGATTTCCAAAAAATAACATTTGAAGGCAGAGCAGTGAAATCACATATACAAATGCACACCCGGGCCCTGCCTTACGTATGTTCTTAACATTGGAAATGACCACCTGGAGCAGCTCCAACCAGGAGGACCCCTGACGGGAACAGTCTCTCTTCTTTCCCTGTTGCTAACCCTTGAGATTCTTCTTTCCTCTACCACTCACCTAAAGAAGAGATTTTAGAGCACTTTTGCAGTTTTCTAAGGGTTGTGACTTCTGGTATTAATGGCAGTACAAGGAGTTTAAAGAGTTTCGTCCTCAACCTCTATTACATTCGTTGAGGACTGGAAAGCCCCGTTCCTGGATTTTAACCCCCTCGCTAGATCCCAACGTGTTACAGCTTCTGCTGCTTGAAGTATGAGTTTCAATTTTCATTCCCCAGTATTTAGAAGAAGACAAACTGTGGCTCTGGCTATTTAAGCTGGACTCTTAACAGACCTTCCCACAGGCACACAGTGATTAAGAACCACTTACTTGTATATGTTTGCATTTGTCTGTATGTATCACTTTACGGTCTTGTAGTCGTGTGGGACCAAATCATCATGTAACAGGAACAAGTACTTCAAGTTTCAAAGAATAGACTTGCTAGAAATTTTAGAACAAGGCTCATTAAAACGGGGCCATGCCTGATTCTTCTATGTCTGCCCAAATTGTGAGGTGTTTCTGAAGTGTGTCATTAGGATAAAATAGGATTATTTGCATTACATGACTTTTAGTCAGTTTCATCTTGGTCTTGTATTATGCTGCCAGTTGACATATAATAACTGTTAAGAGTTATTTGCTTTATAGGTTTCTAGCATGGTATTCTGTATTTTTAAAAATTAGAAAATAAATATGTATTTTGCATTGAATTGAAATTGAAAAGTGAAACGTTTGAACATCTTTGACCTTAGTTACTGATTTGAGGAACTGGGGCTGAGGAAAATTCACGTCTGTACAAAATAGTATAGTAACAGCCCACAGAACATTCAATCACAGTAGCGATTCCAGTTGTCTATGTTTTTTGCTTGCCTATATATTTTTTGCATTAATATTTGGAAAATCATAGTACATATGTCAATTTGGGTCTACATTAGGGTTTGTTGATTAAAAATGTGTGAATTTTTCTCAACAGATGTGACTTTTTTGTGCTACATTCCTAGGGACATGTGGAAACTATCTTTGATTGCAAATTCAAACCTGATGATCCTGATCTTTTAGCAACAGCTTCATTTGATGGCACTATAAAAATCTGGGATATAAACACATTAACAGCAGTGTACAGTTCCCCAGGTGATGAAGGGGTTATTTATTCCCTTTCATGGGCTCCAGGTGAGAGGTGTTTTATTAAAATCAAGAATTATAATTAAATGACTTTTCAAAGTTTTGTTTTCATTTGAATTATCTTCTTCTTGTTGTCATCTTGTTCCAAATGATCGTAGAGGCAAATTAATACCAACATATTGGTTGATTCTGTTTTTATGAGGTTTTAGAATAGAATACCTGCTGAGACACTTTGATTCCTGGGCCCCTCTGTCTGACATAGTCATATAGAAAAGCCACAGCAAATCACAGACACATCCAACTTTAGCTGTATCTGTGTAGCTGTGCCCTTTCAGGGTATAATACAATTTATATGATAGAATTTATCTTGAAATTTTTTATGTAAATCATATTTATGAACATAAAAAAGATACTTATTTTCTAAAAATCGTAATAGATGACTTTTCTTAATATATCTCTTTTATAAATAAGAATGATTATATATTAAGTAACAGTTCAGTTGTAACCATAAAATTCTATATAAATTCCACCTTTACAATACTGAAGAATTTTTATGCCATAGTAGGATCTTTTCTTTGATCTCAGAAAGATGCTGCCTTATACCTCCCAGTACTTAAAGTAGAGAAGAGAAGCCTATGAAACCTTTGACATTTTCTCCCCAAGTAGTACTTCTTTATAGCAATGAATTTTACACACCTAAATGAATTTTTCACTTTATAAAGCATATGTAATAGTTGACTTAAGCTAGGCGCAGTGGTTCATGCCTGTAATCTCAGCACTTTGGGAAATGGAAGTGAGAAGATTGCCTAAGTCCATGAGTTCTAGACCAACCTGGGCAACTTGGCGAGACCTCATCTCTACAATAAGTAAAAATAAATTAGCCAGGTGTGGTGGCACACGTCTGTGGTTCCAGCTAACTTTGAAGGCTTAGGCAGAAGGGTCACCTGAGCCCAGCAATTCAAGGCTGCGGTGGCTGTGAGCATGCCACTGCACTCCAGCCTAGGTGACAGAGTGAGACTCAGACTCAAAAAATGAAATAGTTCACTTATTTGTCCTAAAGTAAAATATTAATTAAATAATCTCATATGACAAGGATATAGCTCATCCTTATTTTAAAAGTTATTTCTTCATACACAGGGATTCTTTACCTTGAATTTATGGGCCCTCAAGGTTTTTAGATGTCTTCAGAGAGCTTGTGAATCTCCTGGAATTTCATGAATAATGTCTGGTATATGTTTATATATATGCCTCTATTTCTGTCAAAGAGTACCATTATAATTACATTTTCAGAGTGGTCCATGACACAAAAGAAGGTTAAAGACTACTGTTTTATGTGTCCCTCATATTCTAAAATGAGAAGTCTAGAAAAAGATTTTGTATACCACTCTTATTGACAGTATTTGTTCCTTTAAGCAAAAAATATCAAAGCCTGTGCTCTCAATTATTATAATATGCATCATCACAGCAGGTTACCCTGGCTAGCGAGATAGGAATTGGACCAGCCAGTGTAGTAATGTTTCACATTATGATACCTATTAGTTGAATACCCTTTCTTTAACAAAAAGCATATATCTCAAAACTAAAACTTAATTTAAAAATTGTGATTATAAAAAAAAATCATTTCAAATTATAACACAGAAAGCATTCTTCAACTTTCTACATTGAGAATTTGCATTGAGAATGTAAAAGCATTAATTCTGTTATGTGATTGTGGATGAATCATAATTTTTAGGTAAGTGGGGACGAAATTTAAAAGATAATTGAGGGTAGACAAGGATGGAAATAGAGTAAGATATAGAAGAATGTGTAACTTACGTGTAACTTACTCTGTATTTTAGAGTAGATACCCAAGGAAAAAAAAAAATTGCATATTTGAGAACATATCCCAGTGATCTAAAAGCCCAAAAAGAAGAGCAGAACAAAAACACTATAAATGTTCCGAGGACTTTGTGTGTGTTTATAGTAATTTACGCAGAGTAATTCCTCTATATTTTTATGACTGAGTAGCAGATGACAGCTGCTCTTTTCTTCTAGTGGAGAAAACCTCTTGACTGTCTCACAAAAGTCACTTATTTAATCCATGAACATCTACTTAGCAGTAGTTTTATTCTCACCAATTTTGTTTATTTTTAAAAGCAGAAAGCATTATTTATTTTTTCATAGAGAAACAATTTTTTCATGTGATCTGCTTAGAGAAGTACTTTCCTAACCCTTAAAATATTAATAGAGAAACATGAACATTGACTGAGTATATTATATTATTGAGGAATTATGGATGATTTTCATGGTTGTGATTATGATAAATAGGTCTTGATAATAAAAGAGTCACTGTCTTTTAGACATCACACTGAAGTACTTGTTGATGAAATAATATGCTAGAGATTTGCTCCAAAGAAATCCGGCAGGGGTTATAGACAAAACAAGATTTGCCATAGTTTAGCAATTGTTGAAACATTCATTTTAATGAATACATTCATTTTATTATTTTCTCTGAATTTGTATACATTTGAACATTTTTATTACAAAAAAAATTTTAAGAACTACTTTGCGAATCCCACTTCTAACATTTTCAAAAGTTACATTTTTGAAAAGAATTTCATATGTGGCCCACATTTAGTATAATATCTAACAAATTTTTTCCTAAGGTGATTTAAATTGTATTGCTGGGGCAACTTCTCGAAATGGTGCTTTTATTTGGGATGTTCAAAAGAGCAAAATTGTACAACGATTTAATGAGGTAAGATGTATTTATTGCTACTGAGTAACTAATGTTTTATACAGTTTTTTATTTTGTAAATGTTTTTCTTAATACTGCACTTAATGATCAGGTGAGATGTATGTTCTCTCAACTGGAAGAAAATCTAAGAGGATATTCACATGCTAAAATGAATTCTGAATTTTGTAGCTGAGTCTAAGATATAAAACTTCACCTAAAGTTGCATTAGACATTCAAAGGAGTTTTGAATCATCCTCCATAAAAACCTGAGCAAATACTAAATAATGAGAAAACTAAACTCAAAACAAGTCTCAAATTATAGTCCCGGTTCTGTTATTACCTTGCTTCTCATATAGAATCATTTTATGGCCTGGAGCCTTTTTTTTTTTTTTTTGCTTATAAAATGATGAAGTTGAATTATATAATTTCTTAGATTTCTTCCCAGTTCTTAAATTCTGTTAATCCATGGGAAGCCCTAAAATTTGCTCTCTTCCAATTTGTAGTGTCACAGATTGTGTTTATCCTTCAACTTGGAGTTACATTATCATCCTGTATTTTACTGAGTTCCATTAATATTTGAAAAATATGTGCACTCTAATCATGATATATTGGGTATGAATTGGGGAAAATATCTAGGATTATCTCTCATTGTCTTGAAATGTTATTTATCTTAAGTGATTATTGTTGAAACTTATTAAATATATAGTTTTTTTGAAGATTGTTTATATATTTGAGGCTTTAACACCATGTATATAAAGACAGTTATCCCTTTGGAAGTGCTCTTTAGTGGCCTTGATTTCCCTGAGCTGCAGAAATGTAGCGAATGCTGAGTACGTGGGAAACTACCCACCACTGATGAACAATTTTGCACTCAAAAGAGGAAACCTTGACAAAGGATTATAAAAGTCATATCCTTCTCTTTCTCTGCATACACCATAACAGTACTCTTTCAAGTCAGAAATGGCTGATCTGTCCTCTGCCCTCCCACCACCAGAACAGCAACACATCCCATAATAAATAGTGGGGTATAAGAAGCAAGAAGCCTGAATATGAAACTTCTGGCCTAGATTCAAAATTTTATTCTTTTCAGACCTGTTGATTTCTTTTTATGGCATCTTGTAACCTAAAATGTGTATCTGTTTGCACTTAAACAGTTCCAGCCTGATTCTGGCAACCCAGCATCTTGGTGTCAAGGAATCTCTCACATTCATTTTTGTCTTTCCCAGCATTCAATAGCACAGTTAAGACCAGTATCAAAATTAACCATGTCAGCTTTAATTGACTAAGCTACATGTTCCCCACAAGAGAAAGTGCAGGATAATAGCCATGCATGAACTTTTCGTGGGTATAAATGAAGCTAACAGAAGAACTCCACTCATAAACCAAGTGAATATAGGGACTGGCTCCGTTTTTGTATCCAACTGTATGTATAAACCTACCCTTCTTTACTGCCAAAGAAGTAAAAAACAACAAACTGAAGATGACCTTAAGAAGTTGAAACTGAGCTGGGCTCAGTGGCTCAGCCTGTAATCCCGCGCTTTGGGAGGCTGAGGTGAGTGAATTGCCTGAGCCCGTGGGTTCGAGACCCGCCTGGGCAACTTGGCGAGACCTCATCTCTACAATAATCAGAAAATGAGCCGGGCGTGGTAGCACGCGTCTGTTGTTCCAGCTACTTGGAAGGCTGAGGCGGAAGGATCGCCGGAGCCCAGCAGGTCGAGCCCAGCAGGTCGAGTCTGCAGTGGCCAGGAGCAGCCACTGCACTCCAGTCTGGGTGACAGAGTGAGACTCCAACTCAAAAAAAAAAAAAATTTTGAAACTGTATCTTTATAACACAAGGTATAAAGTCACTTTAGTTTCCCCCTAATGGCAGCCACAATTTAATTACTCTATAAAATATAAATGTTTCAAATGAAAATTTAGAAATGGATTGATTATCACATAACTGGTGAATGACATTCCCATATGTAATACTTTCCTTGCGTTTTTAAAAATTCTTACCACACAAGCTGTAACTCTACCCCTTGGCCCTTCCTCAATCCTAGAATGCAGAGAAACAAGAAAGTATAGAGTGATTTATTATAGGAATTAATTACCTTAAATCTGTTCTGACATTTTTCATAAAAATAAATCTTTGAAACTTAGAGCAACAACCAGTAATAACAATTGCTTGCACATTTCTTGCACTGGTGGTAGTAGGTCTGAGTTTGAGAACAGATGAGGATGGTCTTCAATCTCACCCCCATCCCAACTGGTGTTCATGGCCAAGGCATCAAGTACCACCTTTAAGGTAAAGCTTAATCCTCTGGATGGCCGAAGATGTAGATATTGACTCTTTACCTTGTGTCCAACAAAAAGAAATAGACTCACTCAATTTATGTCTCAAAACAACCATTTGTTTAAATGTGACAACTTTAGACATTCTTAAAGTATATATTCAGGTTTCTGCTACTGACTTTAGTGTCATCTAGAACAATATCCTAATAGAAAAGTAATACTTAGAAGTAATAAATATGAGAAAAAAGGGGTGAATTATTTCTTATTGATAGGTATTTTACATTTTTTGAAGCACGGAAAAAATGCAATATTCTGCATTGCCTGGAGTCATAAAGATTCCAAAAGAATAGCAACCTGCAGTGGTGATGGTTTCTGGTAAGTACTGTGTGCAGTATGAAATGGCACTGTTTTTAAAAGATGCATTTGGTCGTTCCAGTTGTGTATTAATAAGATTTCATTTGAACAGCTCAACCAACTATCATAAATATTATTTATAAGTTCATATGAGTACATGCTATATTGCTATGATATAACATTAATATATAACAATGCAGTTGTGTTTAAAAAATAAAAAGTGAGCTGGTTAGTGATTTTTAAATACATATACAACCAAAATAACCAAAAGACTGAATTGTCATTAAGAAACTTTAAAGACTTTTCACAAAGTCTTGATAATTCTAATCATATTTTGGGGGGGGAGTAGTATTGGGGCTTTACAGGTGGTTCAAGAGCTGTCAAGTGCTCTAGAAACTTGGTCACAGTTTTACAGCTTTATTTATAAAAGGATAACAGTTTTTGCATGGAGGAATGAGGTAATACACGAAGGAAATGCCTTTTTTTAGGAGCTAATTTCACTGACCCTATGTTTTAGAAATATGTGCTTTCTTAATTCTCAAGCACCAGGAATAAGAAAGTTTTCAAGTAAATATATATAAGAAAAGAATTGCCTTGGTTTCAAAAATGTTTTTAACATCAGATGCTGCTCCTCTGTAGCTGTGAAAGAGCTGGTATGGACACTCGTGGTTCTTGAAGATAGAGAAGTTGACAACCTGTTAGGTTTTGATAAACCCATTCCAGTTTTCACTCACTGTTTAATGTTTATTGAAAACACAGTAGTTATAGAAGCCAAAGATCCTTACTAGAAAGTTAAAGTTTCCAGAAATAACCTTAGTGATTTTTTTTCCTCAAAAGGAACTATTTGCTAATAGATAGATACCAAAATACAAAAGATGTGCCAAAGAGTTTTTTGGTCAAGTGATACATAATTAGCTTTACCATGTATTTTCAAGCAATTATTTATTTGATAACTACCATATTCAGTGTCTAAACATTTGTAAGCATAGGTCACCACCACTCCCTAGTGGCCACAAAATTTTGGTGGGCCTTGTAATCTTTAGGAGAACCTTATCCAAAGACTTTTAAAACCTTGTAATACAATAATTTATACACAGTTTTTTTTTTTTTCTAATGGAATCAACAGCCCTTTCATTTTGGTAATAATAGAGTAGAGCTTCTTTTATTTTTGCAGTTAAATTACAGTCTCCTTTTTTGGTGGCAGGAATGGATTGTTCTCCAAATACATAGTTATATTACTTAGAATATACAATGAAAATGTTGTGACTTACACGTCATGGTCTTAGTATAATGACACAGTGTATAAAACCAACCTTATAAATGAGTTGCTTTAAATACTACAGATTTTGAACTACCTAAATTTGAAGATGGAAATATGTTTGTTATATCATTATGTTTTAAAATATTAGACTATATTTTTCCTCCACAAGAAAATCTATAATGAAATAGTTTCTAAATCAAAATTTACCACCTTAATTTGACATAAGTGGATTACCATAATGAATATTATGTGATGCAAATATACTCATAATTAGTACTTTTGAAACTTTAAAATGTCCTTTACATTTTGTAGATAAGGTCTCTCTATACTGGAATGTTTATATTTGAAATTTGCATTTCTGGCTTTGTTTCTTTGAATAATGTAGTTAGAATGATGTTTTTCTATTAACCTATTATAATTAATTTTAGTATTATTCGAACAATTGATGGTAAAATACTACACAAATACAAACATCCAGCTGCCGTGTTTGGTTGTGATTGGAGCCAAAACAACAAGTAAGTACCTTTTTACTAAAATAAGTAATAATTACATTTTGGAGATTTAAAATAACCATAAAGTTTAGTGCTATTTCCATAGGTAATACTCATCACTCTTTTTAGGCAGTATTTCCCTTGCCTAGCAAATGAGAAAGAGCCTTGTATATGTTCATTTATTTTAGCTATTTTTATTCCAGGAAATTTTACATGATTTAGAAATACTGATTTCCTGCTCTCAAAACAACTTTCTGATACTTAGGAAAAAAACATACTGCTAACTAATGAAAGTGCAAATGAGTCCATTCCATGTGTGGCTTCTACAATAGAAATGTGGCCTTTTCCTTAATTTATTTTAGGAATCTGTGTAGTGATGATGTTCCACCATGACTTTCCATCATCCCCTACCTGGCATTAATGCCTCTGCACTGGGTAACTTCTCAAGATGTGGACATAGTGAATGGTTTTAAAAGGTCACCCTTGTTTGAGAGCTGAGTACTTGTTATGTGAAAATCAGCTTAGATTTAAAATCAAATCCAAGTCAAATCTCTCCTAAAAGTGTACCTTAAAACTCACTGCATTTCCAAGTACTGTGTATTTCAAGCCTCTCTTTAACAGAATATAAATTATATTTAAAAATTCAAACTTTCTTCAGCTAGTATTTAAAAAATGTGAATGACCTTATGATTTCCCATACTACATGTGGAAAGTATACGGATTAAAATATTGAAACCTTATATTTGTGTTCTGAGATAAATAACGTATTATACAAAATGGTAGATCTTTGTATTTTTTCCAGTAAATGTACTGTTAAGGTTATATGCAAAACAATCTCATGACCAGCCCACTCCCAGTATTTCCTGTTTCAATTTTCTATCTGTTGAAATTGCTAACAACAAAAACTGCTAAAGCAGAGTCTTTGGCCTTTTCTTCTGTACCTTATTATCTCTCGATTTCCTTTTCCAGTCAGCCACCAGTTTCTGTCATATTTTTCATATAAATAGTCTTCTTTTTCCAATTCCCCTGCCATTAAGCCAATAACATTTGAGGTTTGGGTTTGTTTGTTTTGCTTTCTTTTGTTGTTTTTTGGACTTCTCCAAAGACCTTCTAAATCAATTCCAGAAATTTATACCCTTCATCACCACATCCTGTCTTTCTTCCATACCTCTCTATGTTGCAGTTCATTCTATTGCTTGAAACTTTGAATAATATCCCATTCATTGTAGAATAGATGCACATATCTTTATATGCATTCTTTGAATATTTATGACATTATTTCTAAAATTTTAGGTTTCTGTATCTGCATACATGTAAATATATGAGTGTATGCAAAATATATTTCCCAAAATGTGGAAACTGGCTTGTTTATCAGTGGGCCTCTGGAAGAGCTTATCTGCATATTTGCAGATTAGCATGCCAGTTTGCAAACTGATGTATTTCATGTGGTCTTAAATAATGATATAAGCATTATAACCCATGTGACAAAATCAACAATTTGGTTTTGGAAGGGTTTTAATGACAGTTGGGTTCCAAAGTATGTAGCTTCCCCTCTTTATCTGTAGAATGTGGGAACTGTTTGTTCCTCGGATAGACTGTGGCGAGTACATGATGTCGACAGGTTGACGAAGTACTCATAATTCCTTTTTCAGTGAATGATGAGCAAAGAACCATTAAAAGTTCATGTTATATTTCCAGGGTGTCCTTAGGTAAATCAAACAGTTAAGGCATCTCAAAGAAGGGAAGTCACCAAAAAGGAATGGAAACACACTGTGACTATCTACTGAGACAGCCCTGGTCTGCATGGATTTCCCAGCTACCTCCTGGGGGAGCATTATTGCTTGTGCCCATACCACGAAGAAATCTAACCAGATGGCTAGGGCATGTTACAATAATTTGCTTACCAGCAAGTAAACATCTCATCAGTCACCATTTGGGAAGACCCAGCTGTTGCAAAATACAAGTTTGAGACACATTCAAAAAGTTGTGAGTCTGGGCACTTTGAAAAAGAACTTAGGTTACTATAAATACCATTTCCTCTGATCTAAGATACATAAAATAAAAACTCACCCAATTAAAAGGTAGCATTGAGACTGAAACTCTTTCTGTACTGAGGCAGTTTCTGTAAATGAGCAAGAGCATGATTATACATGATGTTTTTACATAGAGAAGTTTTCCATCTAACTTGATTAAGGTAGCAAAAATTTCTACCTTTAGAATTCTACCTGTTGTATACTTTCAATAAATTCTACCTTTAGAATTCTACCTGTTATATACTTTTAATAATTTGTAATAAATGAAAATAATGTCAAATTTTCCATTTTTTAATGTTCTCAGAGACATGATAGCCACTGGCTGTGAAGACAAAAACGTCCGTGTCTATTATGTTGCCACCAGCTCTGATCAGCCGTTGAAAGTGTTTAGTGGGCATACAGCAAAAGTATTTCATGTTAAATGGTCTCCTCTGAGGGAGGGGATTCTCTGTAGTGGTTCTGATGATGGGTATGTACTTTGAGATTCTAATTTTCTAATCCTTAAAATCATAAGCTCATGTTTTTCTAGAAATGTATACATTTATGTACTCAAATTATATGTGAAAATATTTAAAATATGTACTTAATGGATGGGCAGTTAGCAAGTACCTAAATGCATTTAACCAAAACTAAATTGAATTCTACCATAAACCATCAGTATATTCATGATTTTCATTTCATTATTCATTTTACTTACTATAGAGGCTTACTTCTAGGTTATTAGCAAGAAAATTAACAGAAACAAAAATTTCAAAAGAACCTATGGGGAAAGGAAAGAAGATCTGAGACAAATATAAGTCAGAAGAGTTTGTTTTTAATAATATTCTTATGTTTAACGTGGAAACAGCTGTTCTCTGTTTTCATCATGAATGGAATAAAAGATCATACATTTTATGAAGAAAAGATGTTTAGAAATGAAAATTACTTAACATTTTTCTAGATTTGTGAGAGTTTCTGAAATCTTGTCTACATTCTATATTCAGACAAAATAGATTTACATAGTATAGTTTGGTTAGTCATTATTTGAAGATGAGATAAATTTTGGCAAGAAAAATCGTTGCTTGTGCCCATGCCACAAGGAAATCGAACAGATGGCCAGATCACGTCATAATAATTTGCTTACCAGCAAGTAAGCAAATCTCATCAGTTACCATTTGAGACCTTTCTTAAGTCCCAAGTTCTACAAAATACAAGTTTGAGAAACATTCAAAAAGTTTTTAATAATGGTCGTTAAATGGTCTCCTCTGAGGGAGGGAATTCTCTGCAGTGGTTCTGATGATGGGTATGTACTTTTGCAAGTAAGAACAGTCACATAGTAACCATAAGTTTATTGTTGATAAATTAAGCATTTTCATCTTGAATTTTTGGCATAAATTCAAATTTAATAAGGGAAATAATTATGAGATTTGTGTGGGTTATCACTTGAGATGTTACTTCTAGTGTTGTTGTTATGTGAAAGTGATGATAAGTTCATTTATGAGATTATCCGGTCTCTTAACATAGACTTCATCTTCTAAATTCTGTTCTACGTGAAAAAGGTATAATCTTCCATCATTGTCTAAGAAATATTTTTAGAATGATAGCAATAGGCATTCTACTGACACAGTAATGAAATTGAAAGGCTTTATTAAATTTTGGTTAATGGTCACTTTAGTAGTCATTGTTAATATAGTTGACGGTTATATATCACTAATGTTGTCTAGCACCTTTAAATAAAAGCCAAAATGGTAGGGAAATCATTTATTCCTGATGTACTCATGAAGTGAGGCATATAAAAGCCTTTCTTAGGTTTGACCAACAAATACACATTGGGACTTCAAAGCCTAACTAACTTGCATTATAAAGGGAAGAACACCTGTTCTAGTGGCCCTTACAATAATATTAACTTATTTTTATGTAAGTCACTTGAATGTATTTTTATATATGAAAGTATGATATCAAACTTAATATTTAAATGCTGACATGTGTATTAAATGAGCATCAAAAAAGATTGTAATGTATGTGAATATATTGTCATATACTAGGATATGGAGAAAAGAAGAAAGAAGTTTTTTTTATATAAAGCAGAAAGATATATGCCTTAAAGGAATAAAAATATGTAGTGTATCTCCATTATAGTGCATTACCTTTAAAGTGTTAATAATTCTGTTATTTTCAAGTTGGTATAAATCTGTGACTAAAAAATATTGTAAATAATCTAAGCAAAATTGGCATTTGGAGGTTTTAAATTAATTGTGAGTTTTTATTTTACTTTCAATAGCATTTGTGCTTTCTACAATCAGTAGAACCAATAATATCAGAAATCCAGTTATAGTTAAAATTTTAGCTTGATCTGGGATTGATTCCAACAAGTGACGAAGAAACTTATTTCATTGACAGAAATATGAAGGAATGATTTACTGTATTAACAAAAGCATGAATAATGAAGTTAGTTTGCAAGTGATATTTATCATGATGCATGTTATACTATAGTTATACACAAATAATTTGAATGTTCTTCAATTATTGTATCCATGTTGTTAGTCATATTTTCCTCTTTGGTTGTATCTGTTTTTTATATTTCTTTTCAAGAAAGCAATTTTTTCACATATAAACTATGAAATAATATATTTATTATCAGTAATAAATGACCAGTAAAAGTTAGGAAAGAAAATATATTTCATAGACTAGCACTAGCCTAGTTAAATATTCATTTCCATCTGCTATAAAGAAGAGTACGTGAGGTGATGAATTTGTTAATTAACCTGATTTAATTATTCCACATTGTAAACATATATCAAAATATCACATTGTAACCCATAAATATACAATTACTACTTGTCAATTAAAAATTAAATAAATAGAATCTTAATATGTATTGGTACATAAAATGCTTTTTAGCTGTGCTAAGAAATGACTGCTCTATTATGAATACATTAATAATTTAGATAAATTATAACTTGAATATTATTACATGCATAATGTTCTCTTTTCAGTTCTGTTCGAATCTGGGATTATACTCAAGATGCTTGCATAAATATTCTTAGTGGACATACTTCACCTGTGAGGGGGTTAACGTGGAATACTGAGATTCCATATCTACTGATTTCTGGCAGCTGGGACTATACAATAAAAGTGTGGGACACTCGAGAAGGCATTTGTTTGGATACTGTGTATGATCATGGTGCAGATGTATACGGTAAAGTGTTTTTCATGTAATATATTGATATATATTAATGATGCTTGTAATGTCTGAGCAATACAGTATCTTTAATAAGTTTTATAGTGCTTCATTTTTAAATAACATTTTTCTCATTAGAAAATATACACTCATTGTTGAAATATCAGAACACCTAAAAATAGAGTCATAAAAAATAATCAGAAGATGAGTATTGTTAGCACTTGTGTCTTTCTCTCCCTCTCTGTCTGCAACTATATCTGTTTCTGTGTACACATACAAACACACATACACAAAAATGCACACATCTACCCATGGACATATATGTATGTATGACTTTCATTTTTCTCCCTTCCTTCACCATCACTCCAGAGGTATGTAGTAGAACAGGAAATCAATAATAGTGTAGGTATATCTTCTTTAGCCATGTTCCTATTCTTGGACATTTGGGACAATGTTTTGTTTTTTAATATAATGCTAAGGTTTTTTTTAAATATAATTGAGCTGAATATGTAAAATCAGATTACTTATCTTTCATACATTACTCTCATTTTTATTTGTATTTGTTATAATTTTTAAACCTTTATGGGTAAGCAGGTGGATTAAGAATGCAAAAATGATTTCTTAGAGAAAGTGACTTCAGTCTATTCATTCAGATCCATATCTTTGACCTTATAGCATTTTAGCTGAGGCAATGTAGCACTGAGTATGGGAGAGAATCCTATTTGTCAATACTTGAAATGGAAAGGTCTCCAACTTTTTTCTTCACCTCATAACTAGAACATCCCTCTACCAATTTATTAGCACATAGATGCCATATGCACTATTATTGTTTTAGTGTGCTTGTTGCTGCTTAACCAACATGAAATATAATTTTAACATCTTCATCCAGGACCATTTGCTTTCTAATATTATTTAATTTTGTATGCATATTTACATAATATACTAATTTATTAATTTTTGTATTATTTTTAATAAAAAATGATTAAATGAAGATAGAGGGTTGACTCTGAAAACCTTTCGGTTATTCACAATGTTTCTTCATAACTTCATTTCTGTAGAAGTTTTGTGAGGTACATGTAAATAACAAGCATTTTTCAATGTTTACTTTAGTTAAAATAGGTTTCTTTTTCCCCTTAGGTTTAACATCCCATCCGACTCGCCCTTTCACTATGGCTTCTTGCTCCCGTGATTCTACAGTGAGACTCTGGTCATTAACACCTTTAATTACTCCTCTACAAATAAATATTCTGGCAGACAGATCTTGGGAAGAAATTATCGGGAATACCGGTATTGAACATATGCATGTATTAGAATTTATTTTTGGATAACATCTTATAAAAAGTCTTTTCTCACTGAATTATGTCTGTTCTTCAGATTATGCTGTAGAGCAAGGTACCCCTCCTCTGCTGTGTGGTAAAGTGTCAAGATATATTAGACAAGAAATAGAAAAGCTAACTGGTAATCCTCGAGCAAAAAAACTAAGATGGTTTTCAGAGTGTTTATCAGTAAGTATTATAGGAATTACATGTTCTGTTAGCCAAAATGAATCAGTGCAACTATGTCAGTCACATATTTTCTTGCATTGTCCCAATTCGGTGGGTCCCTCTTAACATAATCTGTACACTGTAAGAAAGCAACTGTGACGGTTTCTCTCACTCTTGCCAGCTCTGACATGTCTCTCTGTCCTCTTTTCCTTCTCTAATAAACTTTATTTGAAAAAAAAAAGAAAGCAAATACAAAACCAAAAGTAATAAATGAGACAATATAGAGTTACCATGTTAATTTTTCAATTTATATGTGCCTGCATTATAATTTTTTGAAGATGCAAAATACTATGGAGTTTTTGATCACCATTGTATGTTTATTTTGTTTCAACTTTTTAGCCTCCAGGTGGCGTTAACAATTTATGGACCTTGGTTGCTGTGATAAAAGGACAAGACGATAGCTTACTCCCTCAAAACTACTGCAAGGGAATAATGCATTTGAAACATCTGATTAAATTTAGAACAGTGAGTAAAGTATGCAAGTATGATGTACTCAAGTAAAAAATCTTTTTGCCTTTTCATTATTGAAGTATAAAAATGATTCAGAAAGTATGTATGGCCAGATTGGTAGACTGAAATAAGTGAACACCGAAGTGATAAATCTTTCATCAAACCAATAATAAGAATTTGAATTATTTGAGAACAGATTGAATCAGTCATGGTTTTCATAGGTTGAAGCTCATAAAATGTATTAAAGGTCATTTGTAACTCTTTGAAATGTTCTACCCTCACCCTATTACCAGATGATTGTGACATATGGACCCCTCTAATTTATTAGTCTCAGAGGGCCTAGTAGGCTGTATTGTAGGTATGTTTTATTAAAACTGCTCATATCATAGCTCTGAATGAATTTCAATTCAAAACTGTTACCTTATACCTGGGGCAATATCTAGGACCAACAACAAAACCCATTCTGGGACCAGAAAGAAGAAATAGCTTGTGTATTTTCTGAAATATCTATGGTTATCTGTTAGGGTTTATAAACAGTTGAGCCAGGAATGTGGTACTTTGTGATACTTTAATCACAAGCTACACACCTAATGAGTATAACTGCAAAATCTATTGACATTACTGGAGCCAATTAAAAGCAGCCAATGACTTTTTAGTTTATTAGAGAGAATTTTATGAGTTTTTCGACCTGTTGGATATCACTGCCCTTGGCCTCTGAACTCCATATAAACATAGCACCCTGAGTAGTATTAGGGACGTGGGATTCAGTCTCTCCTGTGTCCACAACCATATACCACAATATTATATTTAAAGAGGTATCATATTTTATAGAGAAAAGTATTGTTTTTTAAATATTTAATTTCCAGAGTGATATGCTTTTAAAATATGTGTTTATGTAATGTTTTTATGATCACATGTTATCACCAACCCTTGCATAACCCTTTCTGGTCCCATTAATGTTTTATATTCTTTTTAACCAGTCTGAAGCCCAAGAACTGACGACAGTCAAGATGTCTAAATTCAGTGGTGGTATTGGTGTACCCACTAAAGAGGAAAGACTGAAGGAAGCTGCTGAGATACACTTGAGATTAGGACAGATTCAGAAATACTGTGAACTTATGGTTGAACTTGGAGAGGTAATGTGCTATTAAAATCAAATTAACGAGTTAAACATAATATTCTAAGTACTAAGTGTGCACTTAATTCCAAGTGTTGAAAGTGTGAAGCTTCTTTTTCAGTTCTGCTTGATTTTCTGCCAGCATGATATTAAGTTTATACCCTAGGACAGTAGTTATCAAAGTGAGACCTTTTAGAAGAAGTCTTGCAGTGTTTCAGGCTGGTAGATCTGCATCGCTTGGGATTCTGTTGGCCATGGATGTCCCACTCCTGACCTATGAAGTCAGAACGTCTAGAAATAGGGCCCTACCATCTATGTTTTCATAAACCCTCTTGGTTATTCTCATGCATACTAAAGTCTGAGAACCACTGCCCTAGGCTGGAATGTTTGTTTCTTTTAAAAAAATCTGTGTTGGTTAATTTGCTCACAGTAGAATCCTTTTGCTCATATTGTTTGTCATGGCTAAATCCCAAGCTGGCCAGAAGAGGGGTTTCCACTGGAAATTGTCTGGTGAAGGATGCTGCTAAAGCACATCCTGTTCTTTACAGAGGGCTGAATCAACAGTATAGATTTTCCAAAAAATGGTTGAAATGATTATGTGCTGTGAAGATTCAGGATAGCAGCTCTCCTGGTAGGTGGGTAGTGACTGGAGTGGAGCTCAGAGAGAAGAGGCCTTCTGCTTCTTGATCCTGGGTGTTGATTGCGTGGGTATATTCAGTTTGTGAAAATTCACTGGGCTTTTCCCTTTCCTTTGTACTATAAATTCTGGACCACTTCCCCCTCTTTGCAGCCACTGCTTTCATTGTGCTTTGTCTTCAGGCTCATGCTGGTAAAGCCATGTTTCATTCCCTGTTGTAATTCTTTAAAGAAATGCTTCAGGATCTTGATCCCACTTGCTTAAACTTTCCATAGAAACTTCTACTCTTGTCTGTAACCGATCTGGGTGCGACACTTTTACCCATCGAATGGAAACTTGTTCAACTTTAATTTTTCAGTCAGAATTATATAAGCTGAACCAATTGAGATGTTTTTGGCATTGGCCGTTGTTTCTGCTGTTAATCATTGGTCCTCTTCAATCAGGATATGAGTAAGATTTATTTTTTCTACACAAATTGATGTGAATGGTCTGCCATTATGGGCTTCATCTTCAACATCGTCTTGTCCCTTCTTAGAGTGAGTTATCCATTTGTTTTGTTTTGTTTTTTGTTTTTGAGTTGGAGTCTCACTCTGTCGCCCAAACTGGAGTGCAGTGGCCGCTCCCGGTCACCGCAGCCTCAGCGTGCTGGGCTCCGGCGATCCTTCTACCTCAGCCTTCCGAGTAGCCGGAATTACAGGTGCGCGCTACCACGCCCGGCTAATTTTTTTTTTTTTTAATTTATTATAGAGATGAGGTCTCGCCTGCCCAGGCGGGTCTCAAACCCACGGGCTCAGGCAATCCACTCACCTCAGCCTCCCAAAGGCGCGGGATTACAGGCTGAACCACCAAGCCCAGCAATGTCTTACTCTTTTTAATGCCTCAAACTAGATCCTGTTCAGACATGTAATAGCAAGTTAGTACAAGTTTATTTGGGTACAAAAAAAGTTTTTCAAGTCCGTACATTTTTTTTCTAATACACATTTTCCATGAATTTTTGAAGACCCTTATATTTATTATATCCTCACATGAGGTGTAATACAAAAATATACCTGGAAATCCAAGAAATCTAAAAATTCTGTCTCATATGTTTGAATCCATTTAAAATATCTGTTAAGAATTACACAGTGCCATCAAATTAAGTATGCTTCTCCTCTTGCTCTGTATTCTAGTGGGACAAAGCCCTGTCAATTGCACCAGGTGTCTCTGTGAAATATTGGAAAACGTTAATGCAGAGGTAAGACAGAGTCTGTGTTCAAATAGATATTTCAAAAGTATATGTTAAAATAGAAGCAGCATACAAATATGATAATGAGTTCTTGAGATTTCTTATTCTTATGTGGTTTTAAGAAATATCTGAATTTTAGCCAGATGCAGTGGCTCATACCTATAATCCCAGCACTTTGGGAGGTGGAGGTGAGAGGACTGCCTGAGCTCAGGGGTTCGAGACCAGCCTGAGCAACATGGCGAAACCTCATCTCTACACTAAATCAAAAAATTAGCTGGAAGTAGTGGTGCATGCCTGTAGTTTCTGTTACTTAGAAGGCTGAGACAAAAGGCTCGCCTGAGTCCAGCAGGTCAAGCTGCACTGGATGTGAGCGTGCCACTGCACTCCAGCTGGGGGACAGAGTGAGACTCCAGCGCCCCCCCCAAAAAGGAAATAAATAAACTGAATTTTGTATCTACTGTTACACTACATTAAATCAGTCAGTTACAAGTCATTTTGGTGTTCGTACATTTGACCTGATCTCTGATGAAGACTAGTGGAAAGCAAATTTTCTCATGACAATGGATTAAAAGGTTAGTAAAAATGTATTGCTATTGATATGAGTGATAAGATTTTCTGAAGGTTACCAAAAGTTTTTAGAATATTATTCTATAAATAGTCTCAAAAATTCTCCCTGTAGATACCAATTCCTGCCATTTCTTTCCCTTGGATATAAGGGAGGTAGTGAGGATAAAGAAGGCTCTGGACACTGAGGAGACTTGACTAAATGTTCTTATTTTAAAATGTACCAAACCGGCAAGATTTTTTTTCTCAGTTGTATTGGTTTCCTAGGGTTGCCGTAACAAAATTGCCACAGCTGGGTGGCCTAAAACAGCAGAATCTTATTCTCACAGTTACAGAGGCTAGAAGTCCAAAATCAAGTTGTCATCAAAATCAGCTTCTCCTAGAGGTTCTGAGAAAGCGTCAGTTCCTGCTTCCTTCTCCACTGCTGGGGTTGCTGGTAGTCCTTGGCATCACATGACTTACAGACACATCATTCCTGTCTCTTCCTCATCTTCACATGGCATTGTTAACCTGGGTACCTCTGTGCCCAAAATTTCCTCTTCATGTAAGGACACCAGTCGTGTTAGATTTAGGGCCTACACTAATCTAGTATAACCTCATATTAATTTAACATTTACATTGGCCAAGACCCCTAAGGTTACACTTACAGGTATCATGGATTAAGGCTTCAACATATGTTCTTGAGGGACACATTTCAACTCATAACATTCAACTCTTCTCTATCCTATTTTGTTCTAATCTACTCATTCATTTAACAGATATTTATTTAGTGCCTACTATTTGCCAACCACTGTACTAGGCTTACAGAGTACTATATGACATTTAAAAACGTACTTTTTTGACATTAAAAAGAGAAATTTTGATTTTTCTTTATGGTACATAGTTTAGGCAAAAAAAATCAACTGCTATCCATACACATAAGTAAAAACTAATTAAAGGTTAGGCATAGAATTCAGAAGTAATACTTGCCACGAGAAAGTAGATTATTCCTGAGCACCTGTTCCCTCAACAATAGGGTAAGGAAGAGGCTGGCTCTGTCCTCAGACTGTGGGCTCCTATCCTCAACTCTCAGAATCCCAAAGGATTTTGAGTTCCTGTACTCCTACAGCACAAGTGTGAATATTATTGCTCCCACTGAATCTTTAATAAAGTCAAGTTAGCAGAGGATATTTATTTCACAAAACATTGTTCCGACATTAGCAAAAACTTAATTGAATGTTGTTTGGGACCAAGGTATAGTCACTCAATGTTAGTAATTTGTAGAATAAAAATAAAAATATTTTGTATTCTATGTAATTATTGACATATTTTCTAACATCTAGTCATGTTAATGTGCTACTACATTGTCTTTGTGATAGATATCTAGGTGTCTAAAATGGGTATCCTTACATGTGTTGTAACAGAGGAGACCTAGATGGGTGCATTTGAATTGAGCCATGAAAGATCCATAGGAGTTGCAAGTGCAGAGAGTGGAGGAAACATCCCAGGCTTGGGAGCAGAGGAGAGGTCCTCGGAGGGGAGGCTGCAGTCGCTGGAGTACAGAAGCTGGGAAGTGATGCCAGCTGGGAGTGAAAAGGGAAGCAGCAGCTGGACGTTTTAGGGCCACATAAACTTGTTGCTTGTAAGAGTGACAGAAAGCATTAACAGGTTTTTAAATAGGGGAGAAAGCGAACTGACCAGTTCTTCATTTTGAAAATGCACACAAGCTAAAATATCAAGAACAGATTAGAGAAGATCAATAACAGATATGAGGAGACCAGATAGGAGGCAGTTAGAACTGCCAAGTCAAAAGACAGTGGTAGCATGAGGCCTTCTATAGTGATGAGGAAAGTTGAGAAAAATAGATACATTTGACATATTTCGGAGTTAAAAATAACTGGATTCGGTAATAGAAATGAGGAAGGTGTTACAAACAATTCCTAGGATATAGACTCCAACTCAAAAATAAAATAAAGTATGGAAATATGTTCTAAGGGCAAACAAGTACATGTAATTGAAAAGCTGGACAGAAGCTATCTCTAATCACTGAGATTTCAGAATAAAGCAAGCAATAACCAGAAACAAAACAACCTCTTAGGAGAGGATTTGAATCAAATGCCGCATAAGATCATTAGTTCTCTTTAGACATGTTGAGCTTGGGATTCCATTAAGATTTTGGTGCCAGTGTCAAATAGGAAATCTTGATTCTGTAGCCCAAAGAAGAAATATGGACAGCATGGAAGGTGTTGTTGCCCTTAGTAAGTAAGAGCTGATATGGCAGAAAGAAGGAGACTGAAGAAGGAATAGAATGGGTGAAGAGGGGCAGGGGGAGAGAAGAAAGAAGGCAGATAGGAATATAGACAGCTAACTTTTCCAACTCGATGTCATTTATCTTGGAAAGCCAACAACTGATTTTCTCTGCTCCTTAGTCCACATAGTGGCCAGGAAGTTTATAGATCCAGCCATTCATAGAGATTGGTGGTCTCTCAATCCTACTTCTAAACACTCAGGAAGAGAGGATATTATTTCTAAACAGTTTGTTTCTAAACAGCTATAACAAGGAATTCAGGGTCACATATAAAAACATAGCTGTCAGGAAGTACTCCAGGGATGCTATGAATTGGAGACTGTTAGCAGCAAGCTGGGCAAACAGCATGAAAAGTATTCACATTATCAACCCAAGATTGGAAATTGAACTCTAGTTTCAGGCAAAGACCAGAATAAATTAAATACACCGGTTATTTTTGAACAAAACTAAATTTAAACATTAAGGAGGAATCAACTAGGTTAGTCACTGAGAACATACCTAGCACTCAGATGGGAAGACAGACAGACAGTGATGAGTGCAGAGAGAAAAACAGACACACATACACGCTCCGTAAGACCACAATCCCCTTTGTCCCTTCACATACCTGAAACACTATTTTTATTCAAACTTCCTTGCTCTGGGAGCACTTAACATATTCTGCATGTTAGTGTCAATATATTTATGGTCCTGTATTATTTTTTAAATGATTTTTAGGTTTCTTGAGTTTTGAGACTGTATCCATTGTTATGCTCAGTAAAACAGTTAAAGTTATTTTGTCTTTAACAATGTAGATACCCACATATTTGACTCATTCAATTGTGAGAGTAGCTTTTCCATCACACATATCTGGTTTACAACTTATTTTCAAATAAATGCATTCCTATTTAATAGATGACTACATTGATTTTAAGACCCAAAATGTTCCGGGCATTTAAAATGTGGAAATTCCTGGGCGCAGTGGCTCAAGCCTATAATCCTAGCACTTTGGGAGGCCAAGATGAGAGGATTGCCTGAGTCCAGGGATTTCAGACCAGCCCGGGCAACTTGGTGAGGACTTGTCTCTACAGTAAATCACAAAAACTAGCTGGGTGTGGTGGCGTGTGTCTGTAGTTCCAGCTATTTGGAAGACTGAGGCAGAAAGATCACCTAAGGACAGCAGGTCGAGGCTGTGGTGGCCATGAGCGTGCCATTGCACTCCAGCCTGGGCGACAGACTCCAACTCAAAATAAAATAAAATGAAAATAAAATAGGAAATACGTCATGTTTTAAGGACAAACAAGTACGTGTAGTTATTTCTTATGTCATAAATCTTTTGTCTTCCATATGTGATTATAAAACCTGTGTCTTTATTAAAAGTGATAAGCCGAAGAAAGGCCTTTATCAAATCTGCTTCAGGTTTTAGCTGTGCTTTCAGAAAATCTCGGTCTAACTGAAAGCCTTGAAATTAGTATATCGTTTAAAAAAATTGTCCTTATTTTATTAGGAGAGCTGACCAATTAATCCAGGAAGATAAGGATGATGTCATTCCATACTGCATAGCCATCGGCGATGTGACGAAACTAGTCAATTTTTTTACGTCAAGAGGTCAGCTTAAAGAAGCTCTGCTAGTGGCGCAGGTACCACCTCATCATTGGACAGACCATCTCACGGGTGGGCGGGCATGTGAAAGGGGGACGATTGTGTGCACTGGCTCACCCTCACGTAATTGACAAGTAATAGAGGGCATGGCTCTCCACCCACCTCCCTGGCCTTCTGTCTCAACATTGCAGTCATACTGTCTTCGTTCTGGCCACCCCGGATTTATTTGAGATCTTTCAAACGTCTTGGAACTCTGAATTTTTCACGTGCTGCTGAATGTTACATACCATGCTTTTGGACAACTTTGTTTAGTAATAATTTTCTTGAAGCCTTATTTTGCCACTCAAATGGAGTGAAGAATTTTTCAAATTCTAAGGTTGCCTCCAAATGTGATTTAAATGGATTTCGCTCAAAATAGTATTCTAAAATCGGTCAGTTATCAATAGCTAAAGCTTAAATGTTTAATTAAATTCTAGGCTGCATGTGAGGGAAATATGCAAACCTTACACGTCTCTACGCCTAAGGGAGCTTCAAGTTCGGATGAGCTCTACAAGGGGGACTTCATTGAGTGAGTGATTTACTATCTGCTATGGATTGATCTCTTTGATGGTTGGTTTCCCTGTGGGCATCATTGAAGACAGTGTAATTCATCCTTGCCTGTGTGCTGAGGACTACTGCCTACTGCATCGCTCACCATGGCTGGTTCCATTATAGCACCATCCCTAGACAGTAGGAAAATGTCAGGCGTGGATACACAGCCCACACACAATTTATGTAGCTTTCCAAAAAGCAGAACGCATTCCAGTAGAGAGATTGCAAGTACCTTAATATGGAAAAACTGATCAAACCTGTTGGGAAGGCCTGACGGTGGAGTTAAAGTGGGCTGCTTGCTAATGTCACACTGTAAAGTCAGTGTGTGTAATGACATCATGGGATTGTAGCTCAGATTCCCATGACCCCAGTATTAGTGTCTAGAATAACACTTAGTTCTATTTTAAAAGAATAAATCCAAATGGTTATTTTTAAAAAGAATAGAAATTAAAATTGTTCAGCCTTTCTACCATTTTTAAAAAATTTAATAGTCTTTCTTCCCCATCCATTCTGTGGTTCCCATTGCTGTCCTAGAAAATAAGACACTCATCAAGTAGAAGAGGATCATGAAATGTTAAGCAAATAATAGGTTGAAACTAATGTATTCTTTCCTGAATCTTTGCTGCCATTTCTAAACTTGACATTTTGAAGCTCTAATATATATTAGGCATATTTTGGATACCACCCACATTTTGAAAAATTTCTGTTTAGCCTGTCATTCTTCTAAGGTTAACTGCCCCTATAGCTGAGTCATAGATTACCCAACGTTTTGAGAATAGGGCTTTTCTTCTGTGGGACTGGGGGGAGTGGGAGCCTTGTCAGATCACACACTTGGAAAGACAGGTTTTCTGGTTCCCCCCACCAAATAATAAGGCTTTAATCCAAAATCAAGAATGTCTAATTACATCTTATTTGCCCTTTATAAAAGGGCATTAGTTCACTTTTATGGTGGAATCCTTGTGTTTACATAGAATATATCCCTTTTTCCTTATAGACTCCTGCACAAAGTCAGTCAAGAACTGGCAGAATGGTATTTTCAGGATGGTCGAGCAGTACTGGCCGCATGTTGCCATCTAGCTGTAGATAACATTGAGGTACAACATTTCAAATTTGTTTATGTGAGTGCAGAACTTTTCAGATGTGTATGGTGTTTGAGGGGGAAAGATGGACTGCTTTCTGTGTGAGCACTGATGCTGCATGCTTTCCAAGCCTGAGTAACTGAGTACCTCCTAAGAAGCCACAGAAACTCTGCATACTGAGCACTTTTGTTTTAATTTTTTTCTACCACAAGATATATATTTGTAACAACCTTGTTTTAAACATTTCTTCATATATAAGATGCAGCAGTGTGGTGAAGGGAAAAATTGCTGGTCTTGGACCCAAAATATCTGAATTTGAGTCCAGTTTCTGTCACACACTGACTTTGGGCATGTCACTTAACCTTTCAGAGTCCCAAATATTTTCAACTCTAAAATAAAAATGTGAACACCTACCTTACTTGTTTCACACATAGCTGTTAGGATTACAAGAATGAAAGCACTTATTTTTAAATATCCTCTAGTATATTCTTCACAAAATACACTTCTAAAGTAATTTCCACTTAACCCACTAATGTAATAAGGAAAATATTAAGGATGTAGGTTCTATTGTGCATTGATCCTTAGGTATATTGACCTTAGGAAATAATTGATAGTTGTATACTTTTGAAGAGACTTTTAAATTTATGCTTACTTTCTGATAGGGAGCCTGAAGGACATACTGAAGTTATTACAGAGTTGTTATTAATTAATTGTAAAAATAGTACCAGGGGTTCTAAACTCTTAAATTCTGACCTGATAAAATTTTCTTTGTGTCTCATTATTAATTTTTCCATCTGCAAGTTGGAGTTACTCTGACATAGTTTCTTTATCAGAATATTACAATCAATATTTTATAAGAATAATTGATTTATAGGTTAATACTACTTTATCTACTTTGTGAGCTTGGAGGGGAATGATGATCCTACCCAGCATCTATGCAAATGAAGAAATTATTTTCGTATTGTGCAAGCTTGCCATGGCATGCCTGATTCGTGGAAACGAACTGGAGTTGGCAGTCAGTGTGGGCACAGTACTGGGCGAGTCCGCAGCGCCAGCAACCCACTATGCCCTGGAATTATTGGCGAGAAAATGCATGATGATTCCAACATGGTAAGAATTTTGAAGTTCAAGCGATAATCTTTTTGTGATGAAATAGCTTTTTAAAAAACATAAATTGCATATGATAAGATGTATGTTGTAACAATATAGAATCTCCTTGTTATAAGGGATAAGATTATAGAAGGAAATGGTGACATAGGAATGAAGTAATGATAGGAACTACCATGGATAATGAAATCTACCATGACCCTTCCAAAGTAGCCCAGTTGTAATTCCATAATATCTTAAATACTTAAAAGTATGATAAGACAACAAATGCGCACTTCTTAAGATAACAGGACCACATATTCCCAGTATATCTGTGCTTACGCTTGTTTCAAGTTTACGCTTGTTTCAAGTGTCCTGGTTTCAAGTTTGGAAAATAAAGTCACTTTCTAATGAAAAGTAATTACAAAAAGGGGTTTGCTGGAGACTTGAAACAGACCGTCTTCTCAGACTCTGGCAATACTCTATGAAATAGAGGAATTCCCTGGGTTAGTAACCTGGAAATCTAGGTCAAAGCAATTCTCACTATGGAGTTTCTTTTAGAAAAGATGCAGCTCTGTTATTCAGTAGATGTATGTTGAATAAAGATGGTTTAGATTAGTATCTTCTCTTTCCCCAAAATACTTAGGAATGCAAGGGTTTCTAAATAAACTGTGTATCAGGACTTTGACCTCTGCACACACATATCACCCTTAAGATGGCTATACAGATGACTATACTAATAACAACTAACTAACACTTCTGTATTGCTTACAGAACCAGCTTGTACCAATCGCGGGTTTAAATATTTTACATGTAAAAACTCACTAAGTCTTATGAGGTAGGTTTCAGTTTGCCTGAGGTCTCAGGAAGTGGTAGAGCCAAATTCAAAGCTATATAAACTGGCTCTAAAGTTTGCACTCTTAGCTACCAAACTATACAGACTGAGCACCACTAATCCAAAAACTCAAAATACAAAACTCTCCAAAATCCCCAAACTTTTTTAACATTGACATGACACCACAAGTAGAAAATTCCACACATGCATACTTAATGCAGATTTGCTTCATACACAGCATTATTTTAAAATGTTGTATAAAATTAGCTTCAGGCTGTAATGTATAAGGTATGTGAAACATAAATAAATGGGTGTTCAGACTTGGGCCCTATCCCAAAGATGTATATGTATTTGTAAATATTATAAAATTTGAAAAAGTCTGAAATCTGAGACGCTTCTGGTTCCAAGCATTTCAGGAAAGGGATACTCAACCTGTGCTACCTCCTTCTCTGAGCCTAAGTCAGAAAAAGAACAAGGCTTCACATACTCCTTTTTTGTCTGGATCTGTCGG